AAATAAATATATATAAAAAGGGTGTGTGTGCTGATCTACGTGTGCTTTTCTTTTTCTTGTGTGTTTCTTTGCACATTGAGGGTTCTTCTAGCTCTCTTTTGAATACTTAAAAATAAATATATATAAAAAGGGTGTGTGTGCTGATCTACGTGTGCTTTTCTTTTTCTTGTGTGTTTCTTTGCACATTGAGGGTTCTTCTAGCTCTCTTTTGAATACTTAAAAATAAATATATATAAAAAGGGTGTGTGTGCTGATCTACGTGTGCTTTTCTTTTTCTTGTGTGTTTCTTTGCACATTGAGGGTTCTTCTAGCTCTCTTTTGAATACTTAAAAATAAATATATATAAAAAGGGTGTGTGTGCTGATCTACGTGTGCTTTTCTTTTTCTTGTGTGTTTCTTTGCACATTGAGGGTTCTTCTAGCTCTCTTTTGAATACTTAAAAATAAATATATATAAAAAGGGTGTGTGTGCTGATCTACGTGTGCTTTTCTTTTTCTTGTGTGTTTCTTTGCACATTGAGGGTTCTTCTAGCTCTCTTTTGAATACTTAAAAATAAATATATATAAAAAGGGTGTGTGTGCTGATCTACGTGTGCTTTTCTTTTTCTTGTGTGTTTCTTTGCACATTGAGGGTTCTTCTAGCTCTCTTTTGAATACTTAAAAATAAATATATATAAAAAGGGTGTGTGTGCTGATCTACGTGTGCTTTTCTTTTTCTTGTGTGTTTCTTTGCACATTGAGGGTTCTTCTAGCTCTCTTTTGAATACTTAAAAATAAATATATATAAAAAGGGTGTGTGTGCTGATCTACGTGTGCTTTTCTTTTTCTTGTGTGTTTCTTTGCACATTGAGGGTTCTTCTAGCTCTCTTTTGAATACTTAAAAATAAATATATATAAAAAGGGTGTGTGTGCTGATCTACGTGTGCTTTTCTTTTTCTTGTGTGTTTCTTTGCACATTGAGGGTTCTTCTAGCTCTCTTTTGAATACTTAAAAATAAATATATATAAAAAGGGTGTGTGTGCTGATCTACGTGTGCTTTTCTTTTTCTTGTGTGTTTCTTTGCACATTGAGGGTTCTTCTAGCTCTCTTTTGAATACTTAAAAATAAATATATATAAAAAGGGTGTGTGTGCTGATCTACGTGTGCTTTTCTTTTTCTTGTGTGTTTCTTTGCACATTGAGGGTTCTTCTAGCTCTCTTTTGAATACTTAAAAATAAATATATATAAAAAGGGTGTGTGTGCTGATCTACGTGTGCTTTTCTTTTTCTTGTGTGTTTCTTTGCACATTGAGGGTTCTTCTAGCTCTCTTTTGAATACTTAAAAATAAATATATATAAAAAGGGTGTGTGTGCTGATCTACGTGTGCTTTTCTTTTTCTTGTGTGTTTCTTTGCACATTGAGGGTTCTTCTAGCTCTCTTTTGAATACTTAAAAATAAATATATATAAAAAGGGTGTGTGTGCTGATCTACGTGTGCTTTTCTTTTTCGTGTGTTTCTTTGCATATTGTGTGTAAAGGTGGAAGTAATCTTTCTTTTCTCTTCTGGTTCAGATATGGCTGAAGGGTAAAAGTTTCAAAAGATTCATTGCTGGTTGTCATCCTAATTATAATTAGAGTTAATAGGCTGTAGGAGTTGAGTCAGAGACTTGGAAAAGATAATTTAACATTTCACGTAAGTGGTGGCTTTCCTAGGGTTTTCTCATGTATTTCGGTAGGAAAAGGATGAAGAAGAGCTTCTACTACTAATTGAATCCAAAATTTTAGAACAGCAGCTTGCAAGAATTGGGTCCGCTCTGAAAGTGCCTTGGCTTGACAAAAGGCAGCTAGTCCAGTTACAAGATGCTTTCCCTCTCTGCAAAGACTTCTGTAAGATCGGCTGATACCACAACAATTTTAGCCTTTAAAGCCTCATCTAAACTTATTACAGACCTGAACGCTACTGCTCTAGATGCTGCCTGAAGCAAGTAAACATTCTCATTTGTAGAAAATCATTCACTGTCTTAGAAATTGTCACCTTTATTCCATGTCTAATTCGATGGCCTTTTTAAATTCAGTGTGGTGTAGAGAAAACCAAAATGAAGCCACTGTCCTTTTGGTAAGGTTTCACGTGTGAGTAGATGATACTGTGCTTCCTAAATGCTCCATGGTCTGCTTTTGGAAACAAGCAGCCTTCTCTTTGTTTACAGGCTGCCAGTCCTTTGTGCTCAGTCAATAGTTTCCAGGCCTGAATATGATTTTTTTAATATTAATTTCCATGCTCAACCCTGCGGCCAGTTAAGCTTTCATCCCTTTGATCTCTGCTTCCTAATTCTCCCAGAAGTTGAGGGTGGGGGAAAGGGTCATTGAAATCAGGGTTTGCTTTCTTTGCCTTTTTTTTTTTTTTTGGTGGCTGGGCTTCCTGTTTTCCCATTGTGCCAGATGTGCTCATGTATTTTGTCTTGTTTTTCATTTTGTTCATTACTGTATGGTGGTGGTGACCATGGGGTCCTTATGCCCTTGAACTCTGCAGGTTAACTCTGAGTGTGCCCCACTGCCCTGGGAGCAGCCAGCCTGCAGAACAAAAATACTTCACCGAGCTGGTGAAGTTTGATGTAAAACCCCATCTGGCATGAACTGAAAAAAGCCCAAATCAGCCAGGCAGACTCATTTTTCTTCCTAGATTTCCAGCACTCTCTGGTTTCAGCTGTTCTGCCTCATGGCGAATTTCAGTCTTCAGCCCAGCATTTAGTAATGCAACGTGGCTCATTTAACCAGATGTATGCGTTTATCCTAAAAATGGTATGATAAATGGATACGTCACAATTTAAAGCACTGCTGGAAATTTTACAACTGCACGTGTCTGAGCGTTGGTTGCAGTTTAGAGATGTTTTATATGAGTATGGATGTGCACGGAAGGGCAGCCATGGTTTTGAGGACCTGGGGACATTGATTTTAAAACTTTAATACGTGCTGCTAATCCCCAAGCTTATAGAAAAGCAGCTTTTAATGAAGGTATGACATGTTAGGTGACCTGACAAACATTTCCATGTACCTCCATGCTGTTTTGTGAGTGTGTGAGCTCTGAACAAGAAGATGAGTTTCGGATGCATTGAAGGTCATTAGCTACATGTGGGGTCTTGTGGTGGCCTCACCAGCCGTTGCGTGTAAGGAGAGGCACGGTGTTGGGGCTGACGGTGGGAGAACAGGCTTTAAAAGCAATAAAGCACTTCCTCAGTCCTGCAGTGTTTCTCTGACACCCATTATTTAATGTAGCCCAAGCTTAAAAAGGCAATATTGAAATTCAGATGTCTGAAGTGCAGGCATGGAAATGAAGGAACAGGTAGAGGAGTGTGAGACCAGACAGATCGAAGTTAAGAATATTCCAGGAAAACCTGTTTTGTCTGCACCTTCTGTCTGCTTCCCACCAAGTACTCTCTGCCTGTGTCAAATGGTTTAAATTTTTAGACATTCAGCTTATTGAATATCTTCTGCTTTTGTGTTTGCGTGAAGGAGAAACTACAAAGAACTGGAGAGCTGACTTTCTGTGAGCAGAGAGTCAGAAAGTATTTCTGCTGCTTTTTTTTTTTTTCATTTCAATAAGCAATGTGGTGCTTTATTTCCCTTGTAAAAGTTTAAAAAAAAATATTCTGTGCAGAAAGATTTTTCCAGGCACCTAATTAAGACACAATCAGGAAAGCAAGAGGTGGGACAGCAGATTTTTTGCGGTTGTTTGTTTTTTAATTACAGCACTTGCCAGTCTTCTAGGGCTGTTAGAAAAAAAACCAGCCAAAAACCAGATTTCTTTTTCTTGAATATAAATTGCAAATTCACTTTTTTTCTAGCAGAACTGGAATTGTAGTCTGAATACTAAAGAAGTTAGAATGTTCTTTGGATATTTTTCTTTCATTCAGATGCTGAACTATTAAAATAATAAGATAACTATGGCTAGACCTTATTTAATTTGTATCTCTCATATACTTTTTTGACAAAAGTTTTTCCATGCTAAATTTCTCTGACACATTTAATTAGTACATAGTGTATTTCCCTTTTTTAACACTCTGTACCCAAAGCCACTTTGTGATTCCTGTTTATCTACTCTCTTGGAAATGGGTACACTTAGGGTATTTTTAGAGCTGAGTTTCAGCCCTGCACATTTTCAGCATGCTTTGGAAGTACTGAAGGTACAGATTAGAGGCACAATGAAGCACTAGTATTTCATGTTTGGATTGTAAACTTTGTGGATGCTAAGCCTAGTAAAACTTACTTGAGGTTGGTAGGTTCAATGAAGAGGTAGTATGGGGTCTAATCAGAAAGTGAATTTAAAGAATCCACAATTTTATATGGAGCAAATTAAAAGCTGCAGAATTTTTAAATGGGGCTTATTGCTCTAGGTGGCTCGAGTTAATGGCTTTTGCGTGTGTATGATTGGCAATACTCATCTCCTCTTATAGAATCAAGGGTTTAGCACGATTTAACATTGTGTCTCTTTCTGCAGAACTGTATTGATTTTTGTGAAAGTTATATTATTTTCCAAATAATAAATTGGAGGAAAGCACTGCTTCCAAATTCAAATGGTCAAGGCTGTTTTTTCCTGTAACTGTTTGGAAATTATTATCTTTGGCATCTGGAAAACTTAACTCAGTTCCTTTTCTTTTTGAAGGTTCTTTACGTTCATTCCTGTTTTGCAGGTGATTGAATGATTTTTATAGTTATGGTAGTCAGCATATGGGCACTATTACATATGCTGTAGAATGGTTATCGGGCCCATTTGACCAAAATTTTAGTTCCAGACTTCTGTGTTCTGCAATAGCTTGAGATAAAATGTCTTGTCCTATTGCTGCAACACCTGAATTAAAAACAATAGAGCAAAAGCATCCCTTTGCTTGTTATTTCTCTGTAACCTGGAAATACATAAATACAGTTTCTCTTGCTCTGTTTTATATTCCTGATTACTGCCTTGAATACAAGGAACGTATTTCAGTAGTTTTTAGACGTTTGCCTCTTTTTTTTCCTGTACTTCCAGGTTCTAATTGACTGGATTAATGATGTGCTGGTGGAGGAGAGAATCATTGTCAAACAGCTTGAAGAGGACCTTTATGATGGGCAGGTGCTGCAAAAGCTGCTTGGTGAGTTCACACAAGAGGAGGCTCCCCCAAAGACTGGAAGGGGCCCAAAGTTAATCTCTTCCAGAGCTGCAGACAGCAGCAGGTCTGTGCAGTAACTCACCATCTCACCAGGGATACGGTTTGTTTCACTGAGCGCTACGGTGTCAGCTTCTCCATCTGCTCTTCTCAGACTGTCTGCTGAAAGAGGAGGAAATCCAGATGATTCCTAGGTACCTGTTTCAAGGACTAAGTGTAGTCCAGGCAGCTGAAAAATGTGGCAGAAAAAAGGTGAAGAGATTCGTGTTTACAGTAGGGGACCAAGCAGAAGCCATGTGGTCCAAAATTTTGTCCGTATGGTTTGCTTCTGAAAGCTTTTGGGCTGAAATCTTTATTGAGGTCCTGATAGAATTACTTTTAGGGAAAAAAAAAAAAAGATGAGAATAAGAGAATGTACGGCATCAAGCACATACTCATAATGTGCACATATGTGTGGGCGATTCATGAAAGGATACACACTCAGTTAAGTAATTGTGATTTTGCAACCCCCTTACATCTTTGCAATGTGTGTGTTCAGGCAAGATGCGCAATGGAGGAAACCTTATGATGGTGCAGGGATTTATGGGGGTGCTTTTAGCAAACAAAGAGACTTGAAGCTTCAAGTTCCATTGTAAACCCACACTGTTTCTTGGTTTCTTGGAGACAGATAGTCCGACTGCTCTCAGTTTTCTTAGGGACATGTTTTCAAGAGTGGGCTGGGAGGTGCGATGTCTGTCAGAGGTGGGCAAGAGGACCTAATGGTGCTAGTTCCACTGGTGCTAATGGATGCTGCTTACTGAATTTTCTGCATGTGCCCCTTAAATAACAGGTCTGCAGTGTTTTGGTGAACATTCACAAGCTTTTAAAATTGGTTAACAACAATTAACTTTGTGTGCTATTAAAACTCCTCAAAAATAACTTGAGAAATCAAGTGAGTACTTTTAACCCTGCTTGGTGAGAACGCAGCTGGGACCCTCCAGACATGATGTGGAGCAGGGGTGTAGAGTTAATTTTATCTGGGAAGTACTTGTGTGAACACAGATGTACTTCTTAACAGATACCACTTGCTGAAAGAGCAGTGGCTAATGCATTTCACTGTAGCCTTTTTGTCATAGGTATCACTGATATTTTTTATGCTTCCTGTGGAGGCCATGGTTCCACCCTCAGGCCTGCAGACATTTAGAAAGTGTTTAGTTGTACATACATACATCTGTAGCTCAGTTGGACTTAGCATATCTTACAGAAGGAAGGGTGGGCATGTGTATCTTGCAGCCTGAGACTTTAACTGGACTGTTTTTTCCTCTTTTTTTTTTTTTTTTTCTTGTTGGGCCTCTGGCTGGAGAGCTTCAGGTTGGGGGAGAGCATTTGCTATCACAACCGAACCCCAATCTTGTCTTGTGCTCAGTGATGGCTTGGTTTCTTCAGCAAGACTTATATTACTGAATCCATCCATCTCCGTGCTGTCTCATGCAAGAGGCAAAGTGTGTCATGGTTGCAGTTGTGCTTCTTATGCTTGTGGCCTCAGAATTCAAGTCATCCCTTCATTACGCACGTCGTCTTTTCTGGTGCCTGCAGGAAAGGAGTAACAAAGTATGGTCATTAAACTTCAAGTATTACTTATTATTCCTTGTGTATGAGAGAGGTTTCAAGCAGATCTGTCTTGGTAGGCAGACACACACAAAAAAAGATGAAAGACAATGTCTTGTTGGAGGGTTTAGTTTGAAGCAGTTTGGAGTAAGAGGTTAGCGAATGGCTGTCTGACTGATTGAGGTGGAGTTCCTCGTTTAGTTAATTTTATCAAGGTGCAAGTAGTGCCACTCAGAGGCTGGAGTGGCTTGGTACACATGGTGTCAGGGTGAAAGGAAATACATTTCTGCTTGCTGACTGGCTGTTAACCTGGGCTGAGAATAGATAGGAGCCATAGCGCATGACCAAAAAATGAATTTTGTAGTATAACTTTTTAAAAAACATCTAAAATAATTTAAAATACTATTTGCATGTTTTGGGAGCCAGTTTCAAAGAGACACCTTGGCTAAAGAACATTTTTCCCATTAATATTATTCAAATATTGATAAAAATTTCCTACTGTTGATGGATAGAATCAGTCAAAATGTTCAAAGTATTTGTGAGTTGATAACCTGCAAGTCTCTTCTGTCTGGGTTGTTCAAGTACTTTTATATTTCTGTCACTTTTAAAAAAATAGATGAGAGATATCTTCAGCTAGGTAAAATGTCAAGAAGAAACATACTCTTGAACTTGAGAGCATAAATATTTCCATTATTGGAATAAAAGGTTTTGACAACTCTGAAATTGTTTCTGAAACAATCTTTGGAGTTGAAGTCCATTCCATTTTGTGAAAACAGTTTGGGTGAAGTATGTATTTATTTTTTTGTTTGTTTTTAAAGACTGGAATAATAATATATGATTGGAATATGATCAACCAGTTCTGACCTCCTAGTCCCAGGAGCAGAGTGAGTTTGACCATTTTTTTTTCCCCAGGGTGGAGGGAGAAAAGAGATCAGCTGTACCCATTGCTCAGGTGGCTGGAGGACTCCACCCCACCTTTCTTTTCTCTCTTTCTTCTTCTTTTTTTCTTTTTTTAGGGAAATTCAGCTCCTGCATCTTTGGCAAGGGCCACAATGGAGAGTAAGAGAGGAATTACTTGTCTATGACTTTGGCAACAAATAATTAAATTATATTACAGAAACAGAATTCAAATTTTAGTCATGGCATTTTACAAGATTTCCTACATCAGTTCACTTTTGGAAGCAATCAACCATGATGTGACAATTTCATAACATGACAAGATTGTACCACCTTATTTATGACTTTAAGTTAGTTCCACTAAGCCGGTACAAATCTGGGTCATACGAGTCTCTGACTTGATGGTTTGAGGAGGCAAAGTTTGCTTTAGCTTAAATTCATACCTCAGCTGACCTGAAATAAAGCTGATCAAGCTGAAGTAAATGGTCACACAGTATTGCCCCTTTCTTGTTCTAAATTAACTTGTTGTTAGAAAAACCCGTTAAACCTGTTCAGATTCTTGTTGTCGTGAAGGCTATGTTGTGCCAAATTCTTTTCAGCAGTGAAAGAAAATGGAAGGTATAATAAATATTTTTGCTAACTTGGTGCCTATCTGAAAGTTGTTATGTATTTTGACACCTCATTGATGAGCATGTTCTGTCTGACCTTACCAGTTTTCTGTCACAGGTTTTTTTGGAACTGACACGCTTTGATGAAAGGTTTGCTTTCAGCTATTTTGCTTTCTGAGGAAAATCATTCCTTTGGAAAAATTCTAGCAGAGTCCATCTCTGCCCAGTGCTCTGTGCTTGTTATTCCCACCTAGGGCCTTATTTAATCTGGGTTTCCCTGTTCTTTTTGTTGTTCTTTTCTTCAAATACAGAAAAATTGGCTGACCGTAAACTGAACGTGGCAGAAGTGACTCAATCTGAAATTGGTCAGAAACAAAAGTTGCAGACGGTCCTGGAAGCTGTCCATGATTTACTCCGACCCCATGGCTGGACAATCAAGTGGAACGTTGACTGTAAGGACTCTGTTATGCTTTCTGTCTCAGCTTCACAGGCAAGGAGGATATGATAATCAATAGGTTGATCACATTCTCTGTGATGCAGTGTTTTGTTTTTTTTTTTAAATTATTTATTATAGGTTGATCACATTCTCTGTGATGCAGTGGTTTGTTTTTTTTTTAATTATTTATAGATTTTCATAGAGAGTGTTACCACATCCATGTATGGATCGTAGCTAGTACCTACTTCTGTGGTTTTTGTTTAAGGACAGATGTACATGACTGGAATAATTGAAGTAATTTGTTCCTTTAAGGATATGCTTCCATTAGAAATTTTTTTGTTTGCTTCCTGAATTTGAATCCCTACATATATGAGAAATGTGTAAATCATTCAGGTACTACAGGGTGGTGTAATCCTTTGGGCCACCATAGTAAGAGTACAAGGATCCTATGAAGACAGGCTGAGGGAGCTGGGATTGTTCAGCCTGGAGAAGAGAAGGCTCCGGGGAGACCTTATAGCGGCCTTTCAATACCTGAAGGGTGCCTATAGAAGAGCTGGGGAGGGACTCTTTGCCAGGAGATGTAATGATAGGACAAGGGGAAACAGTTTTAAATTGGAAGAAAAAAGATTCAGATTAGATCTCGGGAAGAAATTTTTTACTATGAGGGTGGTGAGACACTGGAACAGGTTGCCCAGGGAAGTTGTGGATGCCCCATCCCTGGAAGAGTTCAAGGCCAGGCTGGATGGGGCCTTGAGCAACCTGGGTTCCAAACCCCCATGGCAGGGGGGTTGGAACTCGATGATCTTTGAGGTCCCTTCCAACCCGAACCATTCTATGGTTCTATGATTCTGTGATCTTGCTGGAGGATGCAGCTTCTGACAGGCTAAGCAGAAAGTCCCTTCTGTTCAAGCATGGCCTGCTGCAATCCAGAAGTGAGAATGGAATTTTGGAAGTCCCTTCACCCTAGGTACTGTGTGGGGTTCATCTCTTACAGCCAGGAAAGTCGGTGTTAACACTTGGAAGTCAGCTAAAAGTAGAATTCTCCAGTACAGTGGAAGGCAAGTGATTGAGTCTGCCTGTCTCCATTGATCAGAGAGGGAACTGAAGTGTTTGGACTCCTAAGTTAGGCATGTAACTTAAAGGAAGGGCTGTACCTAGGCTTTGCTACCTGTGAAATTATTTCGTAGGCCTTGGCAATTTAGGAAAAAGAAGAAAAAGGTTAAAAAGAAAAAAGACTGTTTTCCCTAAAGGTATTTTTCACTGTCTTTCCCCTGCCTTTTTCCCCCAGAGCTGTTTGCTTAAAATAAGGCCTCAGTGTTCTTTTATTTGCTTCATTTTCCTTGTTCCTTGCAGCGATCCATGGCAAGAATCTGATTTCCATTCTTCACCTTCTGGTAGCTTTGGCAATGCATTTCCGGGCTCCCATTCGACTGCCTGAACATGTGTCTATACAAGTGGTAGTTGTGCGGGTGAGTATGGGCTCATCAGAGAAACTGATCAGAAAAATCATTGTTTCTCAGCCTGATTTTGCAGTACTAGGCTGCTCCCATCTGCTGCCTCCTGATCTCTTGTCATTTATAAAGTTCTTGGCCAACTTGTTTAGTGAGTCCCAGTTCTGAGAATGCCTTTTTGGTATGCTTAAATGTGATCCTGAGAACATCATATTTTTCATGTGTTTGGGACCACCGTTTACTATTGCAATATCAAGCTAAAAACACGTTATGGGATTTTGTCTAAGAGAGAGAGTTGTGTCTGTAATTTCTGGCACTTCAGTAAATGTTTCTTTGCCATACATTTTTTTGTAGAGAAGCCATTGAAACACAAACAGCACAGAAAGGAGTTTCAGCACGTAGAATCTCCCTAGTCTGGGAAGCTTGTTACTGATGATATTTTTCCCCAGTGAGTTATTATGCAGACTTAGACATGTTGTTTTCCTTGGCATGCTAATGGACTTTCATCATTTCTTTCACAGCCTTGTGTTTTTGTTAGCTTTCCTTAGATATGCAGAAGAGATCTGACCTGAGGAACCCTGACTTCTTCCCTCCTGCCCTAGATAACGCTCCGGTTATTCCTTTCCCTGCTCGGTGTTGACCGTTTCCTTTCACTCTACGAAGACTCTGCTTTCAGAGCAGACGCACTCTTGCTTTTTATCTTGCCTTCTATCCCAGCTGAAGCTCCTGTGGCAGCGCAGGCTGTTGCCTGTGAAGCCAGCTTTTCTCAGCAGCTGTTGAAACACCAGGCAGAGCTGTTCCAGCTTTCTATACGTGCCGTTTACTGTTCATGTTGAAACACCAGGCAGAGCTGTTCCAGCTGGCACTCCGATCGTGCCCTGACTGTGTGCTGTGGTGCTCAGCACCGGTGTTGCAAGGCAGGCTGTGGAAGTGGCTTTCTATACGTGCCGTTTACTGTTCCAGCTGTCAGTCTATAGCAGGTTTTCTATCGATAAGGTGAAGTGATCTCAGGCTGTTTTGCAAATCTGGATCCCCTTTCCCCTTACAAGATGCGATTGCGTGGTGGTTGATGAGGCAAGCCTCATTTCGCTTTACATTTACATAATGACATTTTCCAGGCTGCCTACCTGGATGCTCTAGAGGTACAGGGTGTGATGTAGATGAGTAATTGATTGATACTTCCTGGCTCACAGTAAATGTATGTATTATCTTGGAAGAGGTGATTTTGAACTGCTTTCAGGCTGCTGTAGGTGGTGAGCTAGGTATAAAGTAACATGAATGTAAATAGGAGACTAATTTATTTTAAAATTTCTTTTGACTGTCTTGGAAAGGTAAGGAGGAAAATGCAAATATAAGCTGGTCAACAGTCCTCTGGCACTCTGATGCTAGAAATCTCCTTCTGCCCAGTACAGTGAAGTGTCTTCTGTAACTGATGTCAGAAAAAAACCCTTGGGTAAAGAGGTAAATCCTCCCTTTCCTTGTCCTTGGTTCAAGCTTTAGGACCCTCCTCCTCTGTAGCAAAGGGAACGCTGCGGAGAAGGTGTTTTCACATCTTTTGCTGTTGGAGTGATGTAGAGAGGACAGCTGCTGAGAGCATCTGGTTCACCATAGTCCCTGTGTCTTGAGACTAGAGAAGGCTGAGGTGAAGACAGGAAGAGATAAAGCCTGACAGAAACAAAGGAAAGAAAGAGAGAAAGAGCAACTCCTGTGTCCCCAAGGGAACTCCTGAAGGTGTCAGAGCAATGGTACAGTGAGAGTTAATTTAAGCTTGAGAGGCTGTAAGCTCTTGCTCTTGGACCGAGAGCCTGGAGCCCTGGAGATGGTTATGGTGACTGCTGGCTGTGAGCCTACCTCAGCTGGCCCCATCCAGCAGGAGGCTTGTTTCAGCCCCCTGTCCTGCTCCTAGGAAAAGCTTGCAACTCTTCAGCTTTGTTTATTTAAGTGGAAAGCAAGGCACAGTATAAACTGAAGCATGTTTCTTCTGGAACAATAGCTTTTGCCTTATAGTTTGGTAAACTGAATTTCTGTAGTGCAGCATCCATAACCTAGTCTAAAAAAACTTGCTGATCCAGTAACACAGATCTCTTTAAATGGATTTTATTTAGCCTTGACAAGCAGAGGAAGGGTAAGGAGGTTAATATTTTTCCTAAACAGAATAAGAAAACTATTATTAAGGAAATTATTATGATTATAATTATCAAGTTACTGTTAAGTGATCTTTTATTACAGACCCAATAATGATTAGGGTTCTGTCAAACTAGATCACAGTTAACATAAGATAACATAAACCCTCATTTTTAACATAAAACCTCTGAGAGGTGTTAGTTTAAATGCCTCTTCTTGCTTGAATATGCATTTAAGGGCATTAGTCAACAGTTGGTTAAGTGACTTTGTAAACTCTGCAGAATTGACCCTGCAGCGAGAAAACCTTGCAAGATGTTGTGGGAGTATTGTGCAAGAATACACCCACACTGAAATTTTCAAGACTGGTTAAGTCTCACTTTCATGGGTGACTTTGGCACTTAGGATTATCATAATCAACTTTGTTGAGCTGTCCTCACACTGTGCAGATGCATGAGGTGCTTCTTGCCCAGATGGGCTGTTTTTATGCTTTGAAAATAAGAGAGTCATACTGGTTTAGCAAGTTACTGCTTAGTGAAGTTGCGTGCATTTCCACAGCCCATCCCAGAGCAAAGCAGAATACCTGATTAGTTTGTGTAAGTGTTGTGGGCTTTTTCTTCTCTAATTTTTAGTATCCTGCTCCATAAAATGAAATAATATTATGACAGCACTGTGCTACATGGAAAGTAGCTGTCAAGATCTCCACAGACTGGTGGTGATTGTGCTCTTCCCTTAAATTCTTCATTCCTTTAGCATCTTGAGGTGACAAACTGAAACTTTCCTAAGGTGCTATATGTATTTTTTTTTTTTAATTAAAAATAGATAATTTACAGTGTGAGAGAGATCTGTACCTGGATCTGCATCTGTCAAACCCAGAAGCGTTTTGGAGAGGACTTTTTGCTTTGCCTTCCTTGGTAGGAAGAAACTTTACCTATCTATCTGTCTGTCAATATTACCTAGAACAACTGCAACACTAAACCTAGCAGAAAAAAATGCTTTTGTTTATGTTATTTTATATTGGGCATCATGAGGTAGCCCCTCTTGAGAGCCGAGTTCCTGAAACCTCATCACTTTCAACCCTTTTTGAAATCAACCTCCAGAATTGTTTTTCTTGGTGTTTTTTTTTGTGTGAAACGGAACATTTTGTAACCATGGCGATATATGTCCCAGTTATACCTGAGGAGTCCTAGCAGAGCAAGGTGGGACTTCTAGTTAACATCCTGTTGATAGCTACTCCAAGTGCTGAGTTAAGAGTCTAAGATGATACATGTTTTAATACTGGTGTCACTCAGCATGTGCCTGTTGTTCCAGTCCCCCTCAGTGAGGGCAGGGAGGAGAGGAACTTTGTGGTTTCAGTGCGTTCTTTCAGTGAGAACTAGAAATCCTGAGGTTTTTATTCCAACTGACTTTGCTGCCTGATATTTGAAACTGAGATTTGTATGATGAACAAATACTCTAATTCAGGAAAACAAAAAGTTTCTGAGAAATAAGTGTAAATATTGTTCTTAAAGCTCACTGTGTTGGTTGTTTTTATAAGGCTCAGGAATTGCTGTCTTCTGCATGTAGCTTTCCTCATCCTTATTTTTTGTTCTTAAAGCTCACTGTGTTGGTTGTTTTTTATAAGGCTCAGGAATTGCTGTCTTTTGCACGTAGCTTTCCTCATCCTTATTTTTAAAATTGCAGCATGTCCCACCTTGGTGCTGCTGGAAGATCTGGAGTATTTTTACAATAATTCCCTTGTAGTCTGAGTTGCAGACTGAAAGATCAGAGGCGAGGCAGGGCGAAGAGTAAATAAATGTGTCTGGTGGCAGTGGGGCAAGGAATCAAAGTTTCATCAAAGACTGATAAGTGCTTTTGGATGGCAAGGCCAAGGGACCTAGGCTTGCTGTGCAAGCAGCGTGCTCAGCTGCCTGGAAGGGGACGCTGCAGAAATGCTGCCATCTCCACCTTTTGGGGAGTCAGTGTTGGCACCCGGTTCCTCTTTCTTATTGGGGGGGTTGGAGGCATTATTCACTAGTCACCATTTAGTGAGTTTTTGTTCTCACTTTATAGCACCTCTTCCCTGGGGTACATGGTGCCTGGAAGTTCCAGAAACCTGCGTTAGTAAAGCAGAGACGTGGTGGGATGGAATAAAGGCGACATTGTTTTGTATGCAAGGAAACATTGCCCTGTCAGATGCTTTCTCATTTTTTCCATCCATGCTGTCATCCTGGCTTGTTTCGCCAAACCTTCTGGCGCTGTTCCCCTGGCTCCCTTGGGGGGAGCAGGGTGAGATGTGTGCGTGATAGGCAAGTGAGGGGCTGTGAAGACATGGCCAGCTGGTGGCATCCAGCAAAGGGCCCAGCTCGGGCACGGAGCCGAAACATGGGAGACCAAAGCTCCCACTGTGCTTTCCAGCCAGGCTCAGTGGGTGGTGGCTTGAGAAAACAATGCTGCCTTCATTCACGGAATCATGGACTTGTCAGAGTTGGAAGGGACCTCTAGAGATCATCTAGTCCAACTCCCCAGCTAAAGCAGGGTTGCCCAGAGCACATCACTCAGGACTGCATCAAGGCGGGTCTTGAAGATCTCCAGAGAATCCACAACCTCCCTGGGCAGCCTGTTCCAGGGCTCTGGCACCCTCATTGGAAAGAAGTTCTTCCTCATATTTGAATGGAACTTCCTATCTTCCAGCTTGTGCCCGTTGCCCCTTGTCCTATTGCTGGAAACCACTGAAAAGAGTCCGGCTCCACCATCCTTCAACCCACCACTTAGGTACTTGTAAACATAGATTAGGTCTCCCCTCAGCCTTCTCTTCTCCAGGCTGAAGAGCCCCAGCTCTTTGAGCCTTTCCTCATAAGGGAGATGCTCCAATCCCTTAATCATCTTTGTTGCCCTTTGCTGGACTCTTTCCAGTAGTTCCCAGTCCCTCTTGAACTGGGGAGCCCAGAACTGGACGCAGTATTCCCCTTGTGGCCTCACCAGTGCAGAGCAGAGGGGGAGAATGACCTCCCTCGACCTACTGGCCACACTCTTCCCTATGCAGCCCAGGATTCCATTTGTTGCAGGGCAGGAGTTCTTCTTACTGGCTTTTACATTTCAGTTTTCATTTCTTAGATTGCTTCTGGGATAGGGTGTGTTTTTCTCTTCAAAGCCTAACAAATTCTTGTTTGGGGTTCATTGATGAGAATGATTGAGGTGGCATATGTGTACAGAGCTTGTGCCTGAGGGGGAGGTTTCCCTGCTTACCTGAGTTAGCAGCTTTATTAACCCTGCCATAAGTCATTCTGACGGACCCGGTTCCTAGATGGCTGCTGAGATTTGAGGGAGGAAAGAAATTCCACTATCCAGGCATAAGGCTATATCCCATAGTTTGGCAAGGGACCCAGAGAGATGTTAAGAAAGTTTTTGACTTGGGTAGAAGCAGCATTTCCAGCCTCTGAGGGGCACATGTTATGTCTACAAAGCTCTGGAGAGGATCAGAAGCATTTGAGCCCACCCACGTCAGGGGGCTGTGTTGCAATGGGGCCGAGGAAGCTGTTAGAAAGCTGTTTTGAAACTGAGTCTCACCACATGCTAACTCTCTGTTGGGTGGGAGACTCCATATTCATGCAGAAAATTATCCCGAGGAGAGAAAACCCAGTCGTGGGGAAATACAGAATCTTAATGGTTAGATGGGACCTCTGAGATCTCTGGGTCCAACCATACGCACATGCAAGACCCTCACAGTCTCGGCCACTAGAGCATGCCCTGAAGTGCCACATCTACACGTTCCTTAAATACCTCCAGGAGTTTCTGGAACAATACTGTTTGTTGTGAAATCCCTAGTTGGGCTTTTTAGGCTTCCTACGTTTCCCTGGTGGATGAGTTCCTGACAGGCATGTGGCTGGTGGCCCCAATACCACGCTTACTGAAGGAGAACTGCCCTCGCTGGAGCCTTGGCCTGGGGGCAGCCGTCCATGTTATTTCAGCCCCAAACCCCTCCGGAGAGCCAGGCTGCCAATGGTGTCAAATTGTTAGTTGACACCGTGACACGAACGAGTGCCCACGGGGATTTTAAGATGGGGCTGACACACTCTCTCTAATTTGTGTTCCAGGCACGGTGTTGACTCCGGTCTCAGGGGGGAGAATTGTTAGCGAGTCTGTTGGCTGCAAATATATACGTGTACATCTCCCAAACATCCATTTGGCTGTCAGCCTGATCAATGCCACTGTTCTGGGAGCGAGCCCTCCTGTGTCAGCTGTTTCCCCTCTACCTCCACAGTACTTAGCGAGCGGTCTTTATCCAGTTTTTTCTCCTCTGGGATTCTGAAAGGTGCTGAATGCGGCAGAGCCCCTAATGAGCTTCTCCTTCACTAATGCCCTCTCGGTTTCTAACTCCCACCTTCCTTTCCAGAAACGTGAAGGCCTCCTTCAGACCACTCACGTTACAGAGGAGCTGACGACGACGACAGAGTAAGCACAAAACACTTTAGCTTCAGAATGGGTCTGTGGTGCACCATGTGAGACCATTTACAAAGACCACAGAGAGAGACTTAATCTTCCCCACACCCCTGCTAAATTAACAAAAACTTTTAAGGTGGTGGTGGTGCTTCTTTAAGTTTATGGAAATAACTCTGTCTCTGGAAATGTGTTATAAAGGAGACAAGTTGTGTCACAGAAGCTTTTAACTGAATAGTTCATTGACTGTGACCATTGTGGGCCTTTTTTCCACCCCCTGCCTTCTGGAGGTAGCCATATATAACTAATTTCTGCCCAGTGCTGTTGCTTCTCTCAAGTGAAGGGCCAGTGTAGGTATTTTGGGGAAGAATTAGTTTGACAAAGGCAATTCTTTGAAATACCTCTGAAAACTGAAGCGATATCCTGTTATAATTGTAAGGAGAGATGGTCACTGTTTTCAACAGTACTAGAGCTCAGCAAAACTAACTTAAATAAATAAACCTCTTCCCTCTCCAGTTTTTGTGACAGATTACTTTGCTTTATGTTTTTACAGTCCTTTTTAGAGGGAGGAGGCTAGACATGCACTTTGGCTGCAAATAAAAGATGAGGTTTTTTTCCTTTGCGTGGCCTGAAGGCAACTCTTCTCAGAGGGGCTCACATGAGCCCTCCTTCAGTTTATCAGGGTATTGGCTCCCTGTAGAGTTGGCTCAGCTTTCCATGACTTTGAAGATAAATTAAGTACCATGTGGCTAGCTCAGCGGGGGAGGATCTTTCAGATGGAAACGCTCAAAAATGAGATCATAACATCTCTGTGTGGACATTAAAGATCTCATAGTGGTTTTTTGCAGGATCAGAGCTCTGCCTCAGGTTTGTTGGCCAGAATTCCTCCCCTCACTCCTGTGCTCTTGAACAACGTAGCTAGCTTGTCCTCTCCTTCAGATGTGGTTTGCAAGATGTAATCTGCGGAGTGAGGTTTAGACATTTTTTAGCAGGAAAGATGTTTACAGATTTCCGTGTGTGTTTATACATGTATTTTATTAAGTTGTTTAATATTACACAATATTAAGAGGTTTGCCGTTTAATGTGTTGCTTACCCAGATATAAGTGTAGCTACAGAAAATGCAGTGATCAGCAGAATCCAGCATTCACTGAATGCTTTCAAATTCCTCTGTGCAAATCAGGGCCTGATTCTCAGCTGATAAACATCTGCGTATGTCTGGTGATGTCACTGGCTGTGTATATAATTCATACGTGACAGTTTTATTTACATAATATCCAGATACGATGTATGTTTTCTTTCTTCAGAGAAAACAGATTAAAGTGAGATAGCCTGAGCTGTGTGGTGTAGCATCTGATTACTATATTTGTGGAAACTCTGCACAGAAGTACATTTGTTCACTCACTCTTCATCATAAAAGTAGCTATGCATAAGAAATCATAATTATGTGTAAAGCATAATTGTGCATGTCCATTCATTTCGAATGCATCTCCCTGACATCACTGGTGGTCTGCTGGGGACATTCCTACAGCACGTTGGGTCTAGTCTGCAGCATGCTGTGCCTCCTGACGTTGTAGGAGTGGTTAGCCTTCAGCATCTTGCAGGAGAAGGCCCGTTAAGCCCATGGTCTTGTCTTTTCAAATTGATTATTCATGAACTAACCCAGTATTTTTCAATGCTCTGATTTGCAGGATGATGATGGGAAGATTTGGTAAGTAACAAAGTTGACTCTGAAGTTTTGTTTTTTTTTAAAATTTATATCAGGCACGAAAATCTTGTCTGTTTTCCTTCAGCAGATCAAGATAATGGATTGAGCAATTCTGTGGGGTCGGAATGTATTGCGGAGGCAGGTTTTGTTACTGCACACAGAGATGGAGCATAATGGGTAGAACCAGATCATCCGGTGTCCTGCTTGTGCTCTTTAGACTCGTCTCTGTTGGCCTGTTTTCATTTATAAGTAATAAATAGTGAAAAGGCTGCACAGGGCTGTATTTCCTAGTACTGTTGTTAGTGGCTTTCAAGTAAGAATCTTTGCAATCCCCAGCAATAGGAATTACACCTTCTTCATAATGTGACCATTTAATTTATATATAAACAAGTCCATGAAAATGACCGAAGCAAAGGTGTATGGTACGAGGTCTAAGAAAGCTCTGTTTATCTGCCCACTTCCAGGGACCAGCCAGCCTTCTCTACTTCCTTTGCATGGAGTATCTTATCTCCTCCGCGTTCACCAGATTTTTAGAGTTTAGGCCTTATCAACTGTAGATCTGGTCTTCTAAAGAAAAAGCAATTTTTTGGGTGTTGCTGCAAAAGGACTTCTCTTTCTGCGTTTAGTTGTGTTAGTGGCATTAAGTCACTTCTCGCTGAAGAGATGTGGGCTCCTGTTAAGGACTGTGTGTGGTGAATAACAAGTAACTTAGTTTCTCTGTTCTCCAGTAATAGCACATGAGCACTACCATTTCCCCTCTTGCGGTGTATCTGCATTAAGAATTGATAAGGTACTCGGAAAATAAATAATGTCAAGGGGCTGTAGGAGCTAAATAACACATCTTCAGATACCAAAGGAACCTGCATAATAAATATGTTTGTTTAACAATAGAAAACTATTAAAATGTGTTTTGTAAATTTGAAAGAATTTGAACGTGGAAAACCTTTTAAAGACCATTTTGAAATTTTTAACAGCTTAAAACCCAGACACTTTTCCAGCGTTTTTAATGTTTTTTTTTTTTTAATGTAACTGCAATACTGCACTTGGTTAGATTTCTAATTTTTTCTTGTTTTACCTAGTGATGATAGCTGTCATCCCAAAAACTCAGTGTTAATAAGATTTCAGTCAGCCCGAAGCTGCCACAGCATGAAATGTTGCACTAATATAGTCAATTTAGTAGAATTTGATATTGGATTAGATATTGTTATACAATGCTTTGAAGGTCTAAACGTTAAGTTAATTATTCATACCGTATGTAAGTTTTGCTTGTCATACACTGCTGAATCAGATTCACTCATGTTTAGTTTTAAGCTTTACTGAAGTCAAGGGTACTACCAGTAATTTTAAATTAAGCAAATTAATACCTGATTTTGACACGGAGCAATGGATGCAAGCATAGCTATCACTGTAGCTGCAGTGCACCAAAACCAGATGATGTTTCAGTGGCTCATAGTTTAAGTTAGGGTTGGGGCATAATCAAAACTTGTGTTTCATTTTAATTTTTCTTCCACCTACGTATTTTTTTACTAATTATGAATGACAGAAAAGAGAAATCAGTGAATAATATGTTTATTTTCAGTTACCTTTAAAATTCCGAGGGAATTTGCTTTGGTTTTTAGTTAGACAGCAAAATAGGGTGATAACTTTTAGCTTCAGTCTTGATTACATGGCTTTCTGAGAAAGACATAAGCTTAACATAACCTGCTTCCTGTACTTGGTTGTTGGAGGTATACTGATTTTTTTTTTTTTTCTTTTTTTTCCCCTAAATCCAGAGCGTGATGCCTTTGACACCCTTTTCGATCATGCACCTGACAAACTCAGCGTGGTTAAAAAGGTAAAAATGGAAATTTGAGCTTTATTTTCTACATCGTTTTTTTTTCTTAGGCTTTTGGAATGATATCCAGAAAGATCTGGAAAATAGCAGAAAAGGATTAGTGAATATTGTAAATAGTGGAAAGGGTGTTTATCCACCCCAAAGGTCACTGTTTCAAAGCCAGGTGATACCTAGATTCGTTGGCTTTGGGTCAGGCTTGTCTCATTACTCTGGTTTATGGCCAAGGCTTTTCTAGGGAGCGCTTCTAGATTCACTCAGAATGATGCAGGTCAGGAAAAGGCTACTCTGCAAAGGATTCACAGTGGTACAGATCATTCTGACTGGACAGTCATACTGACTTTTATGTCCTAAGAGTCGTGCACGTGTCTTCAGCCTCAGTCTCCCCAACAAGCACTCGCTGGTTGGTTTTCAGCTCATTCCTATATTAAGGATTATCTTCCACAACTGGAAGATATTTTCCACAGTAGCCTGAAATATGATTCACCCGTAATAAGTTTGCTAAATATAAAGCTTTTACAGAAGAGTTGCTTTTGTCCCAGGGCTCTTCTCATGTGGTCCTCTGGTCTCTCCTGCAAGGCTGAGCATCATCGCAAAGCACAGCTACCCACACGTGTTCTTGACACGGCTCTTTGTGCTAAGCAGAGCAGAGGGGTAGAGTAGCTGTTGATCTCTGCCAGCTCTTGTTAGTGTTAGAGAATGGATAAGGAAGACACTCCATGTTATTCCATCAGCTAGTTCCAACGTGGCTGCTAAGCTATTGATTAGAACAGTAATAAGCAAAGATCAATGTCGTAATTTGTCCCTTTGCTTTGTATGAAACAGAAGTTGTATGCATTTAAAATAGCGCTTTAAAGTCTCTGGAAGATTTTCTTTCCAGAAGCATCTAGAAGAGCGATTTTAAAGTTGATAATTAAGTTAACTCTATCCTTGCAATAGAGGTGTTAACACCCAACTCTGTGTCCCGTTTGGAAGTGTTGTGAGCAGACTGGAAGATCCCTCTGCTTCAGTACATTAGCACATACCTCACTCGTAGCAGCAGGATCTTGCACGTCTCCTTCCTGTGGGAATAGAAATGGCAGACTTGGGTTGCATCCTGACTGTAATTTGTTAATTGCTATGCACACATTGCTCCAGGAGCAGAGGTGTGTGCAGAACGGGGTACTGTTGGTATCTTCTCTTGGGAGTCTTAGCTCAGTGCTGCTGATGCCTTGCTCCCAGGCAGTGGATCTTCTCCAAGATCCTGAAGAAATTGGTGTGGACAGTAAGCACACCTACTGCTTGCTTCATCTTCACAAAGAACTTACAAAAGAACCAATGTCATCACGGCTTTTTCCCCGCAGTGCTAAAGTATGCTTTATGTGCTAGGAAAAATAACTAGGAAGCTGTATGTAATAGCACCATCTGGTGACTTCTGGGATATGGTGCAACAAAAATGACTATACGACAGTTGTTTTGAGGTTTATGTACTTAGTTTTGCAAAAGCAAATAATACACATGCATATTTATTAAGCTTAAAAAAAGGATCATGTTAACCCTTTCACATAGGCACCGCCTGGACTGTTTAACATCACTGTTTCTGGTGTTTTCTTTTATAGTCTTTGATCACCTTTGTGAACAAACACTTGAATAAACTGAATTTGGAAGTAACAGAGTTAGAAACCCAGGTAAGAGACTTTGTCTTATTGTCTGTTATCTAACTGTGTAAATTGCAAATCTGGGCCCTTGCTCCTTAAAACCGTGTTATGCAACTGTTTATCTTTGGAGATGTTAATTCGTGGGATCGGGGCTCTGTCATCTGAATGATGACATTCACTGATGCTTCCTGTACTCGCGTTTACATGGACGTCACGTTGCTGTTGATTTGTATTATAAGGTGAAATTCTTGTATATTTAATAGGGTCATATTAATGACTGTGGAATATGGCTAGATCTCAGGGCAGCTTGTCTCTCGGATCAAAGTGGGAGTGCTGCAAAGCAGTTGCTATAGTTATGGGTGGATGGTGGGCTGGGTCTTTTCTAGCTGTGAGGGTTCACGATGAACTGGAATAAGCTCTTACTGCCTGCCTGCCTGCCTGGGGCTCTCGGGAGGAGGGTGGACCACAGTGTGCAGTTCATCATAGAGATACCAGTGCTGGCTTTGATCACATCAAAGTGGGACCGGAAACAATTTTGCTGCTGCAGCAAAGGTCTTTATAGGCTCCTCTCTACCCTGCTGTCTTGTGAGCACATGCACTGTGCTTGCTTCTCAGCAAGCTCGTAGCCCCTGTACTGCAGGGGCTTGACTGCCAGTGCTATCCAGCTTGGTTTGTTTAAAGCTAGCGGAGGTGACCGTCAACCACCACTGTCTTCTTCAGGAGTTCTCTGACTCTAGAACAGAACTAGGTACCAAATATGCTTGGAACCCTTAAGTAAGTGTGAATTTCCGTGTCGGTGGCATAGTTCTCACTTGCCAGGTAAAAATTACACAATTTTCAGGCGTGGGCTTAGCTAAGCAGAAGCAGATATTCTTTCCAGAGTTCACCGGACCATAGAGAGATCATTATCTTATTGTCCCAGCAAAAAAAAAAAAGTGCAGCATCTAGAGAATTGTACCAGGAGTATGGGTAATTGGTTTGAGCCTGGCTTAGTTTAATACCAGTCATTCACTGCTATTTCATAGCTTTGCTGAAATAAATGGGTGACTGGATCTGATCTGTCACAAGCAATTCTTGTGTTATGCCTTGGAAGTACCCTACAATTTATTTTTGAAAGGGTTAGAGGATGTCATGTCTGCCATATCAGTGTCACAAGTGAGAAGTCTGTTAGAAATACAAAACATTACCCCCCCTTAGCCAGGAAGTGGTTGTTCTGTGTCATAGAAATACTGAATAGTATTGCTGAAAGTATTTAGTATATTATTTAGTATTTCCTGACACTAAACAAGTTACTTTGGCTTGGAAAGAAAATATATCTTTTGTGAAGTTAAACTTCCTACCTGTGACAGGGGAGACTTAATTTCAGGTTCTGATTAAAGGCCAATATTTCAATGTCCAACACATACAACCTAAGAGGGATTGTGGTTGAAATGACAAGTTACTGTAGTAGTAGGACTGGGAGTATATAAGATGCAACCAAGTTTCCCAGGAAGTCCTTTTTTTTTTCTTTTTTTTTTTTTTTTTATTAAAAAAAATTTTTTTTATAAATATACTCGTAAAATAATATTCTCAAGACTTTGTTCTTTTTGGGGATTGAGGGGGGGTACGACTGTGCAAAACTTTTAAATTTTCTTCTGCTACTCTGCTATGATTCAAATGCAACTTCTCCATACAAGTCAAACACCAACCATGTGCATCTAAAGAATTTGTGCTTTCCTTTGGACTTCTGGCTAAAAATATTCAGATTGGCAGGGTGGCGTGCAGGACACTGGGCTGCGTTTCACTTCCTCTGTCTTGGAATCAACTCCCTAGGGGAGCAAAACCAAGATTTTTTTTTTTTTTTTTTTTTTTTTTTTAATCGAAAAAGCTTTGTTAAATAGTGTAGTGAAGTTGGCAAGATTCCTCAAGCAAATAAAATAAACGTGAGGAAAAGCAAGAACAGACATACATGCTCTTAAACTCAGTCCAAAGTATTCAGTCGTCTAGTAAATCGGCAACTGGCTGGAGATAAAGAAGATCTTGTTTTCAGTCCCTGCCTATTCAGGCCAAATACTCTACACAATTTAGGAGTACAAATTGTAGGTAACTCCCAGGTGAATTGCTTTTAATTTCTTCTGCTTAGAGCTATTTACTGTATGTAAGTAATTTAAATAGTGGTTGGCACATGATCTTGCATGGGTTAATGCTGTAGCAATAGCTGATGGGCTTCCTTGTTTTGCTCAGGAAATAAGAGTAGGGGAAATAATGCTACCAGATGCAGGGAGAAAGGCTTGTATCCTGTGGTTTTTTTTCTTTTCTTTTAAAGAACTGACAAGAAAGCAGCTACATCAACAGGCTCTTAAGAAAAGACTAATTTAGCTTGCTCAGCTTCACTGGTGATTGCAAGGGTATAGGTGAATCCAGGGAGCAGATGGAACAAAGCCCTAAATGCTTGTTACACTCACTGTCAATTCCTTGTCTGTGACTCCTGAACCATCTTACACTTCTGTGCTAGCAAACAACAGTGGCAGAAATCAAAGGATGTAATTTGGGCCAAGCATTCCTTGTTCCATTTGTTTATAAATGCTTATTTGAAAACAGATGCTTTCACCTAGGAATGTCATCGGTATTTCTATTTAGTTTGCAGATGGTGTTTACTTGGTTTTACTCATGGGTCTCCTTGAAGACTATTTTGTTCCACTTCACAACTTCTACTTAACACCTGAAAGTTTTGATCAAAAGGTGGGTAGAAACTCCAGGTTATATTCTTTTTGCTTTGTCACCACGTGATATTTTCTCTTTTTACCCAGTAAAACAGAACCTGGTATATTCTTCTCTTCAGGAGCTGTAGCAAAGATGCGCTGGCTGTGACACTTGATAATTAATACCACTAAAAGGTGCTTGTGAAATGAATGGGTAAATTTCCCATAGTTAAGGAACAAAGGTATTCTATTACCTAGCATCAAACGACACATAAAGCTCATTAATATCCGCAATGAATAATCAGTAATAAGTGCTTTGTACTGTATAGTACTTTGCATAATCAAAGTGATTTATGTAATTGTAGTACTGCCTGAAGTGGTTTTGTGTGCAGGGAAGCCTTATTGTGCCAGACAGCAGAGCTGGTTCCTGGCCTTGCCTAGTGTGTACTGTGTAAATAGGCTAGAAGGACAAAAGGTGAGAGATGGGAAGCTCTGTTCACTGGGATTGACATGGAGATAGAGCTTCTTCCCAAGGTCATAGAATGTCATCCTTAAAAACTGCCCTCTCGTCTCGGTACTGTCCGTTGCCTACTATCCATTAGTTCTTTTTCTGTAGTTTATATAATGTTACTACAAACCAAGCGATTAAATATCATTGCTTGGTATGCAAATGAGGGACTGTAGTAGAAGAAGGTGGTACCTGGGCCATGATCGTTGGTTGATCTGGGATTATAAGCTATATGTTGAGTGCTCGCAGGTAACATGTTTTGGAACTCATCTAAAGCTAAGATGGATGCCCTAATTCTGCCAGGGAGGGAGCATGCAAAAAATTGCCTGTCTGAGATCAATTTGGAAGCACAGACATCTGGTTCTGTGTCCAGTTCTTGGCAGGATCATCGCTAATGTTACTGACTTTAACTTTTGAAAGAATGTGCTAGCTTGTCTTTTTTTGCTATTTCTTTCTTTTGCTAAGGAGCGAATGACTTGCTGCCTAACAGGGTCTCAGACAAAACGAGCTTTGAGGCAGAAGACTGGATTCTTTGCAGTCTTAGATTGTCTCACTCATAATCAGGATATTAGAGATGGAAGGAGGGGCGAAGTAAGAGTCTTGCTCTTTGCTCCACACTCACTCCACTGTACTGTGTCCTTTCTAGTGTTAACAATGAGAAGAGTGCTTAACACACATTTTTTTTTTTGTCATAACCAAAAGTTTGCCTCTTTCTGCAGTTATTCCTGGACATACATGCATACACACATATACTGTGTATATTTGGTGCTTCCTATCGGAATATTCTGAGCCTGGTTGTGCTGGAGTAATGCATCTGCCCCCTGCTTTTTATTCTGTCACGTTCTGCAGTGGAGAGGATGCAAGCATTGTGTTGGCTGAGCCGCAGCAGGAAATGGCTAGGTCAGGAGTGGAAACGTTGGCAAAAGTTGAAAGACCGAATGCTTTGTAAGGCGAGGGGCTATTTAAAATGGTAGGGTTTTCATAATGACTTCGGTGCAGATTGTTGCTGTCAAGCACCCCTCAGCAAAGGTACATCCTGTCTGAGGGATGGGTGAAAATTCATCATTGGTAGAGTAACCCAGCTTTGCCTGGGTGGATCATATCAGGGTTGTAAGAGGAAATTGAGCTGCACCAAATGAGCGCTGTTACAGACCCAGGCTAACGTGCTGAGCCTGCTTATAGGGTCTATAGGCTACATAGGATTGTCTCCCTAAAGGCAGGAAATCAGACTCTGGTAAGAGGGGCTGCTTTAGGTGTTAAGTTTGTGGATAGGATGGGGATTAATTCATTTTTGAATGTTGTATACTGCACAGGAACTTGGTAGAACAGTGGGAAGATGGTTATCTATTACATCTTATACAAGTTCTCCTTTATAGCTTTATCTTGCTTTTCTGTCCTGTTACCTTGAATTTTCACTCTTGTAGAAATGCAGAATGCTAATTGTAGTCAGCACCTGTTCAGTTATGATTTTGTCGTTTGTGGTTTAAATTCATAAAAATTATCCAGTATTACCGAAGACATGTTGTGGTTTTGTGTGAAGACTCCTCCTTGAGGAAAGGGGATTTGTAAATCAAAGGAGGAGAGGTAGACCCTGTGATTGTTGGGAAAGGAAAAAACATTTTCATCTTGAAAGTGATTGGTTTTGTCACAATGAATGAGGAGGAACTGTAGCAGGTAAAAAGAGATTAATAAAGTCCTGAGCAATAAGCGCTAGTCAAAGGGGCCTTTCTTCCTCGTTGTAGGGAGCTTTGTACGCATTAACTCCCTGATTTTCAAGATGAGTAGCTTTAATTAAATCTCTCCCCCTTACTACGTATCTCCAGAACTGTCATTTGCAGTAACAATAATGCACAGAATTCATAATCCAAATTACCTTGCTTAAATTTCAGTACGTGTGGACAAAAAAGCTGCTATGCAGATCTCTTTAAACTATAAGGTTTGCTTCTCAAAGGAGAAATTAACAGAAGACACCCACTTTGGATTTTTCCTTTTTGTCCCATTTTCTTTCCTCTGACTTTATGTTCATGTATGATTTTTGGTGGCTTGTTCAGGAAGCTCTTTCTGTACAGTTGTGCCTACTTGTTTTGCAAGTTCACTGCGCAGTCCGTCTAGGAAATGCCACCACCAAGAGTTTTTTGAAGCATTTGCTTCATTAGAGAAACTTAATTTGGCTTTTAGCTCTGTTTTCAAGTAGAGGAAGCCCGAGCACCAAGAAACTAAGGAATTAGCACAAGGTCATGCAACAAGCACCCTGGCTATTTGATGATGTGATGTTGATGTTGCTTGATATGCAGCTGATAATAATCAATTGCTATTGATCATCAATCAATATGTCAATTCCTGTTGCTTGGATGGTGTGTGATCTCTTGCTTTGTGGTTGAAAACGTTGATCTTGGGTACAGGCAGGAGGAACTCAACAAAAATGCAGCTTTGTTGTAGTTGTTACTGGGAGCTCTCTGGCCTCTGCCGTAGAGACTGAGATTGGGGCTTAATGGGGTTTCCTGGTTCAGGTGGTACCCAGTCACATTTTCACACTTGAAATTTGGAAATTTTAAATTCAAATATCAAAAAGTGAATATTTGCCCTATAATGATACAAATGTTCATTTCTTAGTCTCTCGTGTGTACTTTCTGCCATGCTTAAGCATGTAAATGTTTAATATTGATATAGAGAACGATAATTCTATTAAAAACAAGTATAGAGAGAATAAAGCATTTCGAAAATGTCATTAAAGGTTTTTATGCCTATGTAACTTTGAGATTCTAAACACTTTACCTCTTTCAGGTCCATAATGTTTCCTTTGCGTTTGAGCTAATGCAAGATGGAGGACTGAAGAAACCAAAAGCTCGCCCTGAAGGTATGGACTTTATGGCTTTAAACTATGAATGAAGACTTAACAGCAGGTGCATTTCAAGTTCAACTCCATTCAAAGACAGTAGCAGTGGTACCACAAAGCAGAGCAGTAAATGTACCCCTTGACAGTTTTCCAAAGGATTCATTGTCTGTATCTGGGGTATATCCTGACCTGTGTTTCTGGTCTGGATTAGATGCACTGAGGTGTAGAAATCTAGCTTTAGTGAATGATCCAATACCTGTGCAGTGCTATATCCTAAATTTGCCTGGTATTCTCAGTAACAGTCCAAGCAGGAAGCTTTTCACGGTGTAATTCTTATAATTCTTGCAGTTAGCGCTAGTGTGGACTCTTGTGATCAGATTTCAGTGACAGGTAACAGAAAGGCTTTTGTATTTTTTAGGAGAACCAGTAGCAAGCTCTCTTCTTGATTTATGAGAACTGAAGTGTAAAAACTGAGTTTTTCCTTTAAGGTCCCTGAACCTCAAAATTAATTAATGATGAGCTCTGCATTGGTACTTGCACTAGGGATAAAAACAGGAATTAAAACTTTATGACTGCTAAATGAGCATTATTTTTATTCCTGGTGTTACAAACTACATATGCATTAAAAGGCTTCTGCAGAACAAATTAAAATAAAGAGCCCCCAAGAAATGTTCAATCTGACTTAAAATGGGACAAAGTGGTGATAGTAAATAGATTAACAAATAGTGAAACTGGTTATAGTGAGGAAAAAAGGCAAAAGACTATTAAATGCATATGTATCCTGTCAGTACTGCTCTTTTAAATTTGGGGATGAAAAGTGCTCCTGAATAATTCAGTGAAACAAGGCACTAGCTTGAGAAAGTAAAGGAGTCTTCTGAGTATTGGAGCTCAGTCAGGGGGGATATGAGGTGGACAAGGAAACAGGAGAAACGTGAACGCGCAATCAGGAACGGCAGGTTTTTGAGTGCAAGGGTTAAAGAGATTGCAGTAGGAGACCAGGTCAGCTAGATGAGTCTGTTTTGAGAGGGATAAAGTGTTAAAAACCTAGGAGAAGACTTCTCTGGTTAAAAGCTTGTCCCTTTTTTGGTACTGTTTTCATCAATTGATCTAACAGAGGACATTACCTTCCCATAAGACTATCTTATATCATTACACCACCATAGAATCATAGAATCATAGAATCATTGAGGTTGGAAGAGACCCTTGGGATCATCGAGTCCAACCATCTACCCTACTCTACAAAGTCCTCCCCTACACCATATCCCTCAGTACCGCATCTAAACGGCCCTTAAACACATCCAGGGATGGTGACTCCACCACCTCCCTGGGCAGCCTGTTCCAATGCCCGACCACTCTTTCAGTGAAAAATTCCTTCCTAATGTTCAATCTAAACCTACCCTGTTGGAGCTTGAAGCCGTTCCCTCTCGTTCTATTGTTAATTACCTGTGAGAAGAGACCAGCACCAACCTCTCTACAGCGTCCTTTCAAGTAGTTGTAGAGGGTGATGAGGTCTCATGAGTGGTAGAACACTATAGCAGATCTTTTGTTTGCTCTGGACAAGGTGTGTAGATTCAGTAAGCAGCAGAATATGTTTTAAGTGTTTTACTGATTGAAAATTTAATTATTAATAGGAGTTAGAGAGCCAAATTAGCTCATAGAACGTTCCTTTCTGCTTTTTGCTGCTGCAGGATGTACGGTCTCTTGTGTGTGTTCCTTCCTCTTTGTGTCTGTACCCATTCCTGGCAGCAGCACCTCACAGCTGTCGGAGTGAGCGTGTTCGTGAGGTGTCTGTGTGGCTGGAATTGCCTGTAAAACCTACTGCTGCTCTTGAAAAGCTGCTCCTGTGGAGAGGACGGTAACATCTTGGGCTCTGCTTATCACCGTAGTTTCATTGAACCCTCTGTAGGATCTTGACACTTAGTACGGTCACGTAGTATGTGTTTCTTAGAAGAATTCCTTCCATCCAACACTCAGATGCTCTGCAAAAGTTTTGTGTATTGCATACTCTGTTAATGCCATACTGATGTATTGTTGGTTCCTAAGTAGGCTGGAGAACCCGTTTGGATTGTTGGTTCCTAAGTAGGCTGGAGAACCCCTTTGAATCCATGTCCTTTCGTGTGATAACGGGTAGTAAATGCCTCTTGAATTAGTTGTAGGATTTTCATGTAAAATGTTGTCTGGAGCAGAACAGCACAATTGTTATTTCTCTAGTCCATGCTTTCTGCAGTGCGTGAAAAAAAGAGATCTTGTTTAATATTTTAGTGTGCAGGTGACAAACAAAAATAGGAGCATATGGGACAGTTTCTCTTCTCTGTTCTTCCAGCCCAATTCGGTAGATTGAGCCAGCAGCAGAACTTGATGCTGAGTTATTGCAGGAAAAGTATGTTCTAGTGGATTAATTTATTAGCCTTTAATGAGGTTGTTACGGAGTGTGAAAGTTTTTTAAATTAATGGAAAATTTTAAACTATTTTGATGATTTATGGCCACTTTCAGTTAACATTTTATTAGTTGTTGTTGGTAATGTTGTGACTGTGCATGCCTCATCTTAAAATAAGAAATAGGATGCCGAGAGTATGCTTATTCCTGGGAATGCCATTTAGACACTGATCAATAAGGAACACTGTAATCGCCCACGCAGGGAGGATGCATCTCATGCTACTCTACTCTTTAATGCAGCAAACAAAGGCATAACAAGGTCCGAAAGTTAGGAAAATGTCAAACTAGAATTACAGTATAACTTCTGCAACAGTGAAGGTAATTAACCGTCGGTTCTGAATTGTCAAGGGATGGAGGTGGAATTTCCACCACTGGAAGATTTGAAAAGGAAAGCATGCAATGTTAAGCTTATTTTTAATTCAGCCACAGGTTGGTTTGTAAGCTTGATACAGGATTTTCAAGATAAAGTTCTGTAAGGATTGTGTTGTACATAAAGTCAGGCTATGTGACCACAATAGTTTCTTCTGACCCTAAATTTACTGCCAAATAGAAGAGCTGGGTCCTTTCCTTCTTTTAGTGACAGGACCTCCCATACCTCTCACTCCTCAGGGTAATCACCAGGGACAATCAGCATCAGGTACCTAGCTTGTATTGCTGGTGGAGATTAGTAGGAGTCAGCCTTAAATTCCTCCATGAGGGCAGATGGATGGTACATGCAGTGCCGCGGGTCTCAGCCTTCTTCCAGGTGCTTCTTTTTGGTGCTTCTTCTGGTGCCTTTAGCTCTTGCCCTGGCACATTGACTCCCAGCTGCTCTCTCCTTGGGACGTGCCCTGGTTTCCTAGCTGTGCTTCTAGCTTCCAGCGATGTTTCTGCTCTACCCTCCAGGTTTCCATTTCTCTCCACTGGCACTTTGATCTTGGTTTATAGCGTGGGCAGCTCCTGCATCAGAATTGATGTTAGCCAGAGGCAAGGAGCAGGAACCTGCAAGACTTGGTCACACCGCTTCATTTTGTGTCACCTGAAATGGAGGGTACAGTGGCTCAGGGAAAAGACCCATCTGGCTTTCAGTGGGAAGCTGAAAATGGATAGTATGGGCAAAAGAAAACGATTTGAGGGGATTGGGGCAAATACACACTCCAAGTCTCTGACCACTACAAAGCTGACTGTCTGGGCCAACTTTTTGTGGTATTTTCATAGTGGCAGCACTATTTTGTTTAATTGTTTAGCAAACAAAAGTGACTGCTAGCATCAGTGGGGCAAATCTGCTGGTAGTTGTCTCTTCTCCAGATATTTACATTGATTTCCCAGCTTTAGAAACGCAGGGCTGTTGCAAAGTGGTATTTCTCACGGCTAAATTTATATTTTAAATCCATCTCTGAGGGAACTGGGTCTCGGTACAGAGTTCTTGCTGTACAGTCTTGCTGATTCTGGCTGCTACCTTACTGAGAATGCTGTGGTAGTGAGCAACTTCCTGTGACACCTGGAAAAATTAGAAATGCATTTCGTATTTCAGTTACCCAGGCAAGAGATCTCTTTTTTTCAGGGTGTAATTACTTCACAGCAGTTAGGATCTTTCCTTTCTTTGGGGCAGGAGAAGGTTCTTTTGCAAATGTGAAACACAAAATCATAAATGAAATATGTAAAATAATACCAGAAAAAGGGCAGAAAGAAAAGTTTGAGAGATTACTATGAAAATACCAGATGAGGTGTGGGGGTTAGTGTTATCCAGTATTGGGAGTGAGGGAAGGGTGGAGAGAATCTGGCAAGGATTCTTCAAAACAGGCAGTAGATGTTTCCCCTGGACCTCACAATTAATTGTACTTATTCTGTTAATTGTTTGCTGTCTTCCTAGTTCTTTGAATGATTTTCTTAATTATCTGTTCTTCCTTACTTCTGCTTCCATGTGTATTTTTGCTTCCTCTGCTTTTCTTCCATATTATATCAAGGTTTTCCTTCCACATCTTCAGCCTTCTCTGTGCTATGCTTCCCCCCATAATTCCCTGGATTACGTCTGTGGTATTTCCTGGCCTTTTATTATAGTAATAAGTTGGGAGGTGCCAGCAGAAAAGCTTTTTGTTGAGAACTGTTGCAGACCTGTTCCCTGCATGGTAAGAAGGGATATTAAATAATAGAAAACTTGGTGTCTGCTCAGAGCATTCAGGCTTTGTTTATTTGTGGACTGCATCATTGCAGAGTTGTGAATGTGTGAGGTTCAGTATCTTCTATGCTATCTATGGCTACTCGTTTGCTGCTTCTGTGGCCAGTAAAGTCATCAGTAGTATTTCCCAAAGCCTTGATCATAGGTCCTGGACAAACGTAGACTTTCTCTGTAACCAGTTTTAGATGAGAAAGGCAATTATCTGTTTTCTCTTTCCCAGAGAAGTTAGCTCTGACTGTATTATGGTGAAGGTGTTTTGAAGTGCCTCATGTGGGACACTGAAAAAGCTTGTCTTGGGGAGATCAGAGCTATGTGGGATGTTTTGTTGCTGATCCCAGCAGCTCAGAGGTGTGCGGACTTTTGTTCCTTTGAGGGCAAATGAAGAAGAACAAAAAGCAAATTAAGGATTTCTCCTTTTCTTCCACAGATGTTGTCAACTTGGATCTGAAGTCTACCCTCAGGGTTCTATACAACCTGTTCACAAAATACAAGAACGTTGAATGACCCTGGAAGCTGCTGAGGTCTTCATCCTTCCAACCTCCTTAGGCAGAAATTACAATAAACACACCCTCTGCACGCTCCCTTTGTGCCTTATACTTCATGCATTCTTTCTACAATTGATGTGGTCTCTCTGTAGCTGTTTGTATGACAATCTCACTAAAAATAATGCATGTGTATTCTCTAGGTCACTTGAAAATGTGTAGCTATCTCAGACTTGTACCAGAAGATGCTGTCAGGTCTGTTGTTTGTTATGATTGACAAATGTTCTTTTTGATAAAGGAAATATACCACTAACTACTTTAATACGCAGGGAAAACATGAGACTTTCCTCATGGCTGGAGACTCTTTGATTCTACAATAGACTTTCTTTTGCATACTCCTTGGTTGCCACTGGCGTTTAATGATTTTTCCAGGCTTAAGTGTTAGCAATAGAAAAACGGCATTTGGAATTTATTTAGAAGCTGAGCCTTTTCAGTTAAATAAGGTTTTGTGTGTTGTGTTGGGTGGGTGGGGCTGAGGGCAATTACAGACACTATCTGAAGCTAATGGCAAAAGCCTCAGGTTTTGTGTTAACCTCATACTACTCAGTGTTATTTCCATTCCATGTTTACACAGAATAAGTCTTGCAATGGGATGACCATCTAATCTTTTGATGTCTATATTTTATTTCATCTCCTTTCCAGCTTAAATCTAGTTGCTAGAGCTTCTGTCATCTGTTAAGCATGCAGCTTCAATCAGGTCAGTCAGGAGCTGGTCAAATAGGCACAGGCTGGATTAATGAGTTTTGCCCCTGGTCCTTTCTGAAACAGACTTGGGGAATAATGAGTTTGGCAGTTTAAAGGCTGACTCTTCATTTCACGTAGTTGAGTTAAAGGGTCAGATTCATTCCTGTTGGAGTTACTGGCAGCTGTACGGTTCTAGAGGTCAGGCTTTTCTAAACAGAGTTTTATGTATTTTCTTTCTTAAAGAGTAAAACTGAATTCCTGTATAAATAAGGGGTTGCCTGTACTTATGGATTGCACTGGGCTATGCAAGACGTGGTACGCATAGTGCAAGCCAACACGTGAAGCTTTTCAGTGAGCAGTTATGCTTTAAATTAGTTTTGAGTTGCCCTATGCTATCCCAAGAAATACTCTGCCAGGCTCTGGTCTAATCCTGTAGTCTTTTGAGCTGTTACAGATTTTAGTGGGGATCTGTTTTAAAAAAAAAAAAAGGATTGCTGTATTTATCCGGGAAGAGTCTAGTTACCTCATAGGACTTGACAGGTTTCATCTGTGGAGCGGTTCCTGGCTGGTGATGTGCAGGTGTAGTGGTGTGTACAAGGAGGCTGTGCTGGAACATGAGCCATCTAAGTAGATTTTTTTTTGAGGTGAGCTGTGCAAAGGAAATGGGATTGTAATTTCCAGAATAAATGATTTGTGGAATATTTATATAACAGGACTCCTTTCCTTGTAGCGCACCGGGGAGAGATTTGACTCCTGCTTTTATGTATCACTGCAGCAACTTTTCTTTTATGGGCAGCAATGGTTTTGTGCGAAATATTAGGCAGAGTGCCCCAAAGAGGAGGCAGGTAGTATTGCTCTGCTCCATATGCTCACTTGAGTCCTGTTGTAATTAGGCGTCTTTTTACCCTAAATGTGTATTTCTTATGCAAACCTTTATTTACCCTTCTGAATTCAAGAGGAAACTTGCTATTTGAATGGCATAATTTCACGACTGGGATTTTTTTTTTCTCCTTCCCTCCTTAAACATTTATTTTATTTTTTTTTTAAATCTCAAAGGGAGAGAATTGGGCTTCTACTTCTTTGTTCCGTATTTTTGGATTCTGGCTTCTAGTATTCGATTTATTTGGGTCACCTCCTTTCATACCTCCAAAGCCAAAGGTGGAAGGAAGTCACTCTTTCTTTCCATTAAAAATTCAGGTCTCATCTACCCTCTAAGGTTGTGTGGGGAGTCATTGCTTGCCTGTACTTTAGGAGGGAGCTGACCTCTTGCTGTTTTTTCAGAGCCTGGCACAATTGGACCTGAATTTCAAATGGGGCCACTAGGCTCTACCGCGACACCAGCAATTATTACAGAGGAGACTTTCAGAGGCACTAAGATCTGGTCTCTCAGCTCTCCTGGCAAGTTAATGAAATTGGTCTTAACTTTTGTGGGGTGAAATAAGGGTATCGTGAGGCTGGAAGGAGATTGAACTGAAAGGTCACGCAAACTTTTAGTTTAATGCAGTGTTATTTGTGGGGAAACGAGTCTGGTAAAGAGCTGTCATTCCACCCACCTCCTTTCAGCTGATGTGGAAGTGACAATGCTGTTTATATTCTCCGGGTTGCTGGGAAAGACCTCCAGAGAATCTAGTTTTTGAAACTGCAAGCAGTGTTAATATCAAAAGCAAACAGAAAGTAACAAGAGGAGGTTGATAAAATCAGTTTCGATCTGAGAAGGGGGGGGAGCTCTTTCTGAGGCGGGGATTTAACAGCATCCTCACCGCATGCAAACAGATGTGAGCATACCACCAAGTGTTAAAAGAGTCTCCTTTTTGCTTAATTAGGCATTTCTGGTCACTGTAGAAACCTGAGTCCCTCCTCTACAACCCGAGGCATAGGTACCTTGTAGCATTCCTTACATTAATGTGCCTGTCAGTCAAGGCTGCAGGCTTGGTGCCCTGGACAGGTTGGGAGCAGGTGTCATACTCTGTTTTGTTATGTTTTTAAGTTTGTTGGTAAATGTTACATAGGGAAAACACATTTTTCATTCCTTAGCTCTGTGCTGTCTAGCCAAGTCACTCTTCCTGCAGACGCTGTATTTATTGTTAACCGGACTGGGAATGGGGTGGATTTAACTGAACATTAAATGTTTAGTTTAATGTTCAAGCAGTCCAGTTTACAGGAAAAGGAATGTGGATAAAGCTTCTCTAAACACCTGTTTCTGTTGTGCCTTTCTCTTACATATGCACGAAAGAGATAAGTCAGTGTTAAAAATATTATTCATGAAGTCTTTGCGTTGCTGGAGTTTTAGATATGTTCCCTGGGTGCCACTGGGGTAGGTCTGAATCCTGTTGAGTTCCTGTGGAACTCTGAATGCTCTGTAGCATTAAAGCTTCCACATTTGTAAGTATTTAATGAATGTCTGTCTTTTCCAGTCCATACAACTTGCCTTTCAGGTGCATCTGCTTGACATACTTGATTCCAGTGAGCTATGTTACCGCAGAAGAAGCCCAGATGCTCCTCAGCTGCATCCTCTTACTCAAGATGAAAAAAACAACAGTGGCAGATTTTTTTAAATTGGTTTAAATTTCATAGGACTTTTTACCCCTCTTCCCCACCCTGCCATGCTTTCAGTATTAATGTATTTTTTAAGACTCTTTTCTACTGTTTTTAACAGTGTTTACTCTGAATTTCTAGCTACTAAAAACCAGCCTTGCAGATAAAATTCTGGACTTGTCGTGTGCTGGAGCCATCCAGCTTTGTGGCAAGAGTTGTGTACTGTAAGCAAGTTACAATGCAATGCTATGTTTGCTAAAAATCACAGCAGGAGTGTTGTGCATGGTTAGTGACAGTTGTACTATTTATTCAAATAAATAAATAATGATCACTTGGTTTTCTACATCTTTTTTTTTTTTTTTTTTTTTTTTGGCTAAATGGACAAGTCTGTGGGAAGAACTTTTGAAAGGTGGGCTCCCAGCTGCCTTCTTCATCAAGGGTCCTAGATATGTGGTGATCTATGTAGACCTAGCAAAGCAGTGATCTTAGGTTCCTGGCCCTGGTACAGGTGATGAGATTGTATGGGCGGACACAAATGAGCACTTCTGTAGGTTTTATCAACTTTTTTAAATTTATTTTATTTTGCTTGGCTACTGGACCTGATCAAGTTGTTTACCCTGTCCCTTCCACAAGAGAAAAGTCCCTGAATTGCTCTCTCTGATGTCGTAAGAAGACTTGGGGACCAGTTCTTTCACGGCAGCACAGCAGGGAAGCCTGGCATGCAGAAGCAAGTCCCTGATGTGTCTACAGAGCTTTTGGGAAGCCAGAAGCTCAAGTTATTGTGGGGTGACATTGAAAATGCCTCTATGCTGCTCTCTGCTCTGGTGTGGAGAGAGCACAGAGTGGCTCTCCCATATAGCAAGGCTGTGTGGAGAAGCAGGAAAATGCGTTATCAGAACTTGTTATTGGTGGGAGTGCTGTTGATTCCTTGAATTGTTCTGCAGTGGCTATTTTTATGTGAGGGCCAGGTGTGTGCGTGTGGGTGAGTGTGTATGTGTGTGTGTATAAATTGTGTTTTGGGAATGTACAGAAAGACTCAGGCGGCGGGAGATAGATAGGCATAAAATCAAATGCAGCTCCGATAGAGAATTTACTAGTGCTGTCCTACACAAGACTGGATACTTCATGGACTGGTGACAACATCAGTTTTTGAAGGCAAAAAGATCACATGTGTTTCAGACTTGTGCTTTTAACACTGACATGCTGTATTGTGAATGAGGCTTTCATGAAAGAAGTCAAGAGTTCTGAGTTGAAGTAGGGAGAGAGCTAGTAGTTACAGATGAATTTCCCAACATTTCTTTCTTCCTGCTCCCTCTGCCTGCTGATACAAAACTGGATTTGTCCAAAGTTGCCAATAGCATCTCCAACTCTACCTTCCTTTTGTTTTTCACTTACTACGTTTCTAGGCTGTGGCATACACTTCTGCACGGGTAAGAAGGTACTCTGGATCTTTGCTAATTTGATGTAGTGTTGTGCTTATTATTTGCTTAGAAAATACAATTGAATTTGTGCTTTGATTAAGGATTTTGGATTTAAGTTCTCAGTTACTAAGAATTCATGGCAGCTGGAAATCTGTTTTCAACCCACTTTCCTTTATCCCATTTAGCTCATGAAGAACTGTCAGTTCTTGTCTGTGGCACGGAGCTAAACACAGGAGTCAGTCCCCTAACACCATTAAACCAGACCAGCTTAATTAGTGTGGCTGTCTACTGTCTCATTCTGGGATGAGACATTTCATGGAAGACTGCAGAGTTGCTTTTTGTTAACTCTTCCAGAAGTAAATGTAACTGGTACCCGAAGGAAATGTCCAGGGAAAGTGGTTGCTGTTGGGAGCTTTCCCTCTTTAGTTACAGAATCACAGAATATTCATGGTTTGAAGGGACCTTTGAGATCATTGAGTCCAACCACAAAAAAATCCAAACCAAACCAAAACCAAGAAAACCCCCCCACACCAAAAACCACCACACATCACACCCACCACAAACAGACACAAAACAACAATCTTGGGCACTAGAGCATGCCCTGAAGAGCCATGTCTACACGTTTCTTAAATACCTCCAGGGATGGTGACTCCACCACCTCCCTGGGCAGGCTGTTCCAGTGCCTGACCACCCTCTCAGGAAAGTAATTCTTCCCAATATCTAATCTAAACCTCCCCTGCCCCCACTCAAGAATATTTCCCCTGGTACGTCATTACTCCCTTGGGAGAAGAGGCCAACACCCACCTCTCTACAACCTCCTTTCAGGTAGGTGTAGAGGGCAATGAGGTCTCCCATCAGCTTCCTCCAAACTAAACATGCCCAGTTCCCTCAGCCTCTCCTCATAGGACTTGTTCTCTAGACCATTAATGGTGGGGAAGGGAAGGAAGAGCAGCAGCACTGCCTAGTGGAGATAACTCTTGTCTCAGATGAGCATTTTGGGCCCTGCTGTGGCTAACTAGCTCTCTGAGGACAAACGGGTTAATCTCCTTCTGCCTAACTTTCTCCTTCTACCAGGTAGGTAGAGTAACGCTTTATGAAATGCTCAAAGGACCATCAGCAGAAGGTGCCGTGTAGCACGATGGATTTGTCTGTCATTGCCTGTTTTATTATTACATACAAAGAAAAAAATGCACCCCACAGTCACCCCAGAGGCAGGTGGCAACCCGCCGCGCCGTGGAAGGGCGATCGCATCCTCCTCATGCTTTCTGGCATTTCAGGAGTTGCATGTTTCCTGCGTTTGTGCTTCTGTTTATTTTGGTCTCCGGCAGGGCCCAAGCAGATAGACAATGTGAGTTCCGGATACGACTCTGGTTTCGTTTTTAAGAGCAGTCGGTGCCGCCGCGCGACTTCCCCCTCTGGTACTCGGCCTGTTCGGCCTGCCTGCTGCCCTGCCTGCTCCGAGCCTGGGGGGTCAGACCCCTCTCCCCATCAACTTCTTCACGCCTGCTGGGAGAAGGTCTTGGAAGAGCTTCTGGAGATTTACTGAAGGAGAGAATAGTAAGTTTGGGGAGAAAAAGGGGGCTCCTTTGGGTGCGTTGTTGTTTTTTTTTTTTAACGGTAAGACTTCCTGTGTCCACGTGGATTATTCTTAATAAGACAACCTCTCTTCTGATGCTAATGAGCAAAAATGGCTCTTGAAAGGTCTGGTACAAAACAAGGAAGTGAAAGTAAGTTCTAACTGCACACAGTGGGCTCCTTTGGGTGCGTTGTTGTTTTTTTTAAGGGTAAGACTTCCTGTGTCCACGTGGATTATTCTTAATAAGACAACCTCTCTTCTGATGCTAATGGGTGCATTTTTTTTTTTTTTTTTTTTTTTTTTCTTATTTATTTTTAAATTCTGGTTTTCTGAAGACAGCAAAAATTACTATCGGCGTGAACGTTGCCACCTGGGTTTTGTTCCCTCCTTGGCGTGATCAATTTAGACAACTGTTCCTAGGAAATGTCTTTGAGCTAATGTGGAGTAGGGCTTTTGTCTTTTCAAGCAGGAAATAAACCGGCTGAAACAATTTGGGAGCACTGGTAAGTGCCTTGTGTGTGTTCTTACAGCTGGTTTGTACGCCAGGGACCCCTGGTAGCTCCTTATTGCTTCATGTCTTATACCAGGCATATGTGGGAACCAGACTCTGTGAAGGCTCATGGAGGAAAAGCGAGCTGATTTGACCCAACTAGAGAAGACGTTGCTTTATGGGTAGTTGTGGTATTGCAACCTTGTGCAACAGCCTTGCTCTTGGCCTGAGAAAAAAATCCACTTGTTGGCTGCCTCAGCAGGTGGCACAGGGAGAAATAAAACGCCTCTTGACTTTAAAACAGACAAGCCTGTGCATCCATGACATCCTCAGGGGATGAAGGACCGAATTATGCCATTTCATTTGAATAGTCAATAATTGCACCTCAATTTTATTTAAAAATGTCATCATGAAATGCCTCTATAATCAGTATTCGAGCTGTTGTCTCCTACTGTCATCTCTTCTCCAAGGGCTGATAAATAATGTGCAGGAAGGTGGGGGCTGGAAGAACCAGCGTGTCAGTCACAGCTCTGAATAGCAAATTTGAACGATGGGCTGCAGAGGCTGGTTGCAGCAAACGTGGAAGCTTGTGTGTGAGAACCATGTCTTCCATCCCTTTGTGTATCTCACTAAATAGCTAACCCCAAGAAGGTGTCCAAACCCACCTAATCTTCCATTTCATGTTGTTTCTGCAGCATGTTATTCTTTGAAAGGCTTCTGTCTAGGACCAACCCGCACAGCAATGCAGCTTGAGACACAAAGGGCTGCCCGCGAATGCTAATTATTAGTAATAAGCAATGAGTCTATTAAATGCTAAGGAACTACAGTTTGCGGGCTCTGAAATGGATGTAGGAAATCAGTGTTGATGAACGTGAGGTGAAACACATGGGAAAACCAACACTAGCTCTACAGGTAAATGATGGGCTCTGAGTGGTGTGTTGCTATTTAGGAATAAGATCTTGGGGATATAATAGATAGTTCCATTAACGCGTCAGCTTGGTGCTCAGCAGTGATCAAGAAAAGCAAAGAGCACCAGGAATTAGGAGGAGAGGAACGGAGAACAACACCGTGGACGCTGCGGTGCACCTCTCTGAATCTGGGCAGGTCTGGTCCCTAGTGCTTCAAAAAGGCTGTGAGACCCTTTTTGCTGGAGAGGGTTCAAAGCAGGGCAACGATGATGATCAAAGGTGCAACAGAGTGGTCGCCCTGGGAAGGACGACTAAGCTGTAGGCTGTGCTTCCTCAGATTTGGAAAGAGATGACTTTTGAGGGTGTAGGACAGCAATACAGTAGTAAGATGGAGTAGTAACACATGAAGAATGTGAATCAGTTGGTCTCCTTTGCAGCATGTATAGTGGGGAGCTTCAGGGGAAGGTGGCAGGTTGGAGCAAGCAACAGGAGGTGGGGCTTCACGCAAAGTAAAGCCACCCTCTTCAGCCCCTCACTGCTGAACGGTGGGAGAGATGCGTGGTCAAGGGGTGGGTAGGAAGTTCATGGGAGGTAAATGTGTTGACAGCTCGTAATTACCAGGAGCCCAGTTTTGATTTAGGAAGGCTGAGCTGAAGGATGTTGAAGTATTTCAGGGAAGAATCTGTCTGCGCTTGCTCTGTTCATGTTCCACCTCCCCCCAAACTTCTGCTTTTGGGTGCTGTAAGGGACTGGGTACTAGGTAAGCTAGTCTTACCCAGTATACCAATTTTAACACTGAGCAGGATGCACAGAACTGACATCTTAAAGGATATTAACTTATGCTATTGCAAATTCTTAATTTCAGGTCTTTTCCTACATGCTTCCAAATGTTAAAGAGCTGTTTTTTGATAACTGGGTTCTTTGGCCAAATAGAGACCAAGGGTGCAGCAGACAGTACATGTCACTTTGTGTAATGGTTTTTTAACTTCTTTTTCTGTACACACATTTAAATACATTTTCAGATTTTTTTAAAAATGCAACCCACCAGTCATGAAATAGTACTGAAGAAAACCCTTCAGTTTGTTTTCTTCTTAGCACTAATTTTGGTCTTTACATGCCTTTACTCATGTTGCTTTTATTTTTTAATAAATATTTTTTGCCAGCTTACCAGGAGTGAGAAAAGACAATGGATCCAGACTTTTTAAATGCGTTTACACAGGCTGCTGCAGTTAATCAACTCCTACCTGAGAATGCCATCCCTCAAGGTATGTGCTTTATGAACCAGGACAGAATCACAGAATCATAGAATGGTTGGGGTTGGAAGGGACCTTAAAGATCGAGTTCCAACCCCCCTGCCATGGGCAGGGACACCTCTCACTAGAGCAGGTTGCTCAAGGCCCCAAGAAAAAGGGCCAAAGAATGACCTGAAGAACCAAGGCAGATAATGTGTAGTAGAAGTGAATCATATATTTTTAGCAGTGGTCCCCTGGTGTTTTCAGCAGTGACTAAGCTCTCCATGTATAATTTGGCTGCTGAGTCCCTAGAGGCAGATCATGAAGATGCAGCACAACTTCTAGCTGGTTCTTTCACTGAAATTTAAATTTCGCACATAAGGACCTGACCAAGTTTGTTTTCCTCTTTCCAGAATTGTCCATCTAGATCTTACCGATTTGAATTGCACTGAAGCATAATTTCCAACAGCAGTTTTAATAGTCTCATATACCATTTTCTTGTAAGGAATCAGTTGTAACACAAAATGATGGTGTTTCTACGTGGCAGTTAGTGATATTGGGTAATATTAAACTGATAGCCTATTTTACAGAAAATTTACATTAGTCATATCTTATAATTGTAATGGATCCTGTTTGCTTCCTTTCATAGGTGAAAAGAGAAAACTCATAAAACCGACTGCAAGGAATAATCCCAAATTGGAAGAATTAAAACTGGTACCGTTTCTTTTACTATGTTGTTTAAACCCTCACCTCAGGTTGTTTTAACCTGTTGTGTTAACGCTCAGCCCTGTAAATCACCCAACTCTTTGGCTCCATCCATACTTTATGAATGGGGACGAGCTCTGCTTTTGGCACCTGGGCTCCACACAAGTGTAAACTTTTGTTGAAGCCAGGATGGCTGGGGCTGTACAAGACCAGCCTTCAAATGCCTGCATCACCCAAGACTGGTCACTGCTGTGTGTGAGGTGGGGTGTCGATTTAAAAGCTGAATTTCTTCTTATACGTTACCTCTTCTAACTTGGGACGTGTGGATGAGCCCCACCAGAAGTACCCAGTTGCTACTTTATTGTAATGATGGTGTAATAGCAATGACAGTCCGGCTGGAAGAGCGGACTGTGATTGAAAGGAAACCCACATCAACTGTGAGTGTGACACAACTGTGGGCTGTGACTAAAGAGAGATATTCAGATACATGCAGGTTTGCTGCCCTGATCCCATGATAACAAATTCTAGGAGAGCTGTGCTGATTTGCAACAGTCTTCTGTCTGGTCTTCTACCTCTGGTGGCCAGTGGCTCAGCCTGACGAGGATAGCATAGAGAAGAGGGATGAAAGGTATGCAAGTCCCCAGGAATTCAGAAGATAAAGCTTTTGAGTTGTTATATGGCGCATTGTCTGCTTGAGGTAACTGTGAAGGATGAATCCCATTTTATGGGAAAGTACTTTATTTCCAAGTAATTTTGAAAATCTCCCCTGGGCATTCAATCACCATGTTTCTCTAACAGCGCAGCCCAGGGGAAGGCTAGCATACTGACATTTTCTGGAAGAAAAGTGGCATGTGTCTTATGAGACCAGCACTTCTTGCATTATGGAGATACTAAAATTGCTATAAATATTATGAAAACCAGCTTAGGCTTTGTGCTGCTATGTGTATTGCATGGCATTCATAAATCCACAAACATGTGCATTTCTATATTATGTTTTCTTAAACCTTCATGCACATTTGATCAAAAAGATTTAATTTTTTGTGTCAGGCTTTCACAATGTTTTTATACAAAAGAGAAAATCTGAAAGGTGGTGCTGCAAAATGCAATTATGTTGTCTACAGAGACACTGAATTGGTTCTTTCCAGACTGCCAAAAATGAAGAGCTTTCTTCAGTTTATGAAGGTTTCTGTGAGAGTCAGTGCTCAAACTTCAGAGACTCCTCTCAGAGGAGTCTTTCCTCTCAGAGACTCCTGAAACGTTCTTCACTGTCTAATTTCTTTTCTTTGGGTGATGAGGAGATGGAAATTGGGACCCGAGGCGGGCAGTCTTCTGGGTGCCCATCGGTGCCACCGGTTGCTTTCTTAATCCAAAAAGTTCATGGCTCCTCCAGAGAAGAGATTGGGATGGAGATTTGCACTCGGCAGTACTTTTCTGCTGTTCCAGCTTCCATCTGGTTGTACTGTTGTGTTTGGGGTACGGCTCTGTCCCTCACACGTATAAAGCATTGCCAGGTCTTAACCTGCAAGCATGAGCTGAGGAGCATGGCTTTCTGCTGAGGAGGTCTATTACAAACCCTTTGACAGCTTCTCAGTTCAGGCAAGAGCTGGCGCCAGGCATTTTTGTTTCTCATGCGGTTTCCAGCACCTCGGAGACGTGTTCTTTTTCTCTTCAAACTGCTTTTTACATTTTTTGTTAATATTGGCTAACTTACAAGGATCTGCTATGAATTTTCTCCTCTGTTTACAGGGAGTGAGAAGGTTATTCTCCACACAACAAACTCCAGACACTCACTTGTAGCAGTAACAGGGAACACAAGCAATACCCATCCCTGTTTCGAGAGGTTCTTGTTAACAGCCAGCTGGGGCTACTGCTTTTCAGCTCTGCTTCAGGAGGTCATCTTAACCTTTCTAGCAACATAAGGGACTAAAACACATGCTGGGGGAAGTTCTGAGGAGCTCCTTTGGTGGCCTGTGTAGGAGCACAGTGCTGAAGGCAGGGGCTGCAGGGCCAAGGGATGTAACTGGAAATGTGGTTCCTTTCCAGTTGTAGCCAGCCCTGGGCTTCCTGAGCAGCTTCCCCTTGCAAAGGCAGGAAGGATATTGGAAAGGGCGATGGGAGGACTGCCATGTAAGAAAACAAAATAAACAAAATGCTTTTTTTTCCCCCCCCCCAAAAAAAGGTATTTGGGGACAGGTTGGTACAAAATTGCAGAAAGAAAAAGAAAACAAAAATAGGAGAGGAAAGGGGGGCAGTGCTAGTAACATGGATGACTGCAAGGAGCAGCCAGCAGAATGAGTGAAGCCCCTTTTCTTAGAAACTTTTGTCTGATGGTTGAATTTGTGTGCATTCTGGGATGCCTAATGAAATCAGGCATTGGGAAGTGTACTCTTGCAGCCTTTTCCCAGATAGAAGTGAGAATAGGGTCTATGTCTCTGCCTGTATAACTATTTCTACAAAATTCATAGGAATATAACTTGTGAGATGTCTAGCTCACTTGAAAATTAGGGAGAACTAACTGATACTTAACTTCTCTTTAAAAAACAACTAAAAAAAAACGAAGGAAGGAAACGGTGGTTGAAAGCAAACCAAGATGTGAAATGAGGGACTAAAGAGAAAGGTGAAACAATATATAGCACTGAGTTCTATACTGTCTAAACAACACCAACAATATCATTGCCAGCTGCTTTGTTTTCCTCTGCAGTTATTGATTGACTGGATTAACGCAACGCTGAAGGAGGAACACATAGTAGTTAAAAGTCTGGAAGAAGATCTGTATGATGGGCTGGTACTTCATCATCTCTTGGGTAAGCTGCTGCTTTGAGTTTAGCTCACAAACGCATCGGGGAGGAACTTCCAGATGAGAGAATAAACCTCACGAATCGCAATAGCAGTGATCTGCTGGAGCCTTGCTTCTTGCAAACTGGGAAAAGCACTGCACTGTGAACCCTCTGTGATAATTTCAATTCTGAACAAATGCTTGATTATTCACTATTGGTTTTATTGAATTATTTTTATTCTTAGAAAGTTGGTTGTTTTGTGGTTTTTTTTTAACCTGCTAGTTAACACAATAAAAAGGTTAACTTTGAAGTGTGAAATTACGGTGCCTCTGAAGGGAAGGAGGGCTTCCTAAACCAGGAGCACAAAGGTGACTTGTGATGCCACCAGAAACATTGGATGGAATCAGCACGATAATCTATAATTTATGTTTTCCTGCTTTAAAAAAAGATAACAAGACAACAATAAAAAAGTTCTAGGTCTAAAGCACTGGGCTAGAACTGGAACTGACATATATCTAAGGGGCTGTCTGCACTAAGAGGTGCTTGTATAAAGTTGTCATCTCTTGAAACAGCCTGTTGGTCTATTTCTATTTCTCTGTCTCTCCTGTCCCTACTTCATTTTTCTTTTCCCCTTCACTGTCTTTGGGGATGTCTTTTCAAAGGCTGAGGGCAGCAGCGTGAACAGTATTGGCTTATTTTCATAGTTTGCTTGCCTGAGCAATTAGCTGGGATTTCTTCTGTGTGTGTGAGTTGATGCTGCCTTTGTACACTGTCTACAGGAAAGATCCATTTGTTTGATTCCTGTGGCTTCCACTAGGAAAAGGAGGAATGTGGAGTGCTAGCGTTGGGGGATGAAGCTGCAAGGAATGACTTGAGTCCTCTCCCTTTTGCAGAGCTTCACTGATTTTACTGAGGCTTTCAGAGAGTGCAGGAGTTTAACAGAGCATGCGGGATGTGGGTCTGTGGAAGTCATTAAGCGATACAGAGCATTTAAAACAAGACTTTGTGTGCTTTGCTTTCGCTTTATGTTTCTGATTTTTTATTTTTTTTTTATTTTTTATTTTTTCCTATGGTGGTGTTAACATACATCTTTCTCCTTCCTGTGGACGCTTTGTCAAAGAAAACCTAGGATCTCTCAAGCTGGATGTTGACAAGATCGCATTGACAGAAAAAAAACAGCGACAGAAACTCTCTGTGATTCTGGAAGCTGTGGCAAAGTGTTTGCAACTGGAAGAAAGTCAGCTGAAATGGAGTGTGGAATGTAGGTGCAGAAGTGAAATTGGAGAATATTATCCATCACGGGGCTTCCTCTGCTATAAGGCTGCTTAGGAGGTGTCAGAGCAGGAATTAAGCAACCTGCTTTCAGTTCCTAGTTGAATCAGAAGTAAGACAGGAATATCTGACCCTGACTAGGTCATGCAAGCTGCATCTTCTAAGTGTGTGGCTTGTGGACCACTTGACAGCCCTCTGTGCCCGTGTGTATGTCTCACAAAATGGACTTTCAAGGTGTGGTATTGCTGAATTGTGATATTATATAAACCTCAGTCTGATGCCCCACCTGTGTTATGGCCCTCCATGACTTTGGGATCACAGGGGGAATTTATGATATTGGAGTGAGGTTTACTTGTTTTGCACGCTAAACATCTTTTCCTTTCTTTGCATGGAATAGCTATTTTGACCAAGGACTTGCTGAGCACACTGCATCTTCTGGTTGCAATAGCAAAGCACTTCGAACCCAGCCTGGCCATGCCTTCAAATGTTCAAGTGGAAACAATCACCATTGAGGTAATCAGAGTTTCAGTATTTGTTACAGTAGATCTTGGAGACCTTTCTCAAGACAAATTTGCTAAGAATTATGGAGAAATGTGTGTGCACCTGTGAAAGAGCTACTTGTATTTTCTGTCAACCGTGCCTTTTAACTTCTGAGTTTGCTAGACCAGAATATCATTTTGTTCTCAGTTCTCAGATGCTGTATCTTTAAAAGGGTAGAAACACTACGCTGTTTTTTCTCCTTGATCAAAAGAAGGAATGGTCCCAACTGAAAACAGCTGTTGGTCTCTGTAAAGAAGAAAAAGAAGAAATTCTGCTGTTACTAACTCTAAGTGTTTTAAAATAGAAGCCTGCACTCATAAATTGTGACACTGGTTTAACACTGAGGATTCGTTTCTTTAGGGGGAGTTTTAACTCCTCTTCTATTGGGGTCACATTTTGGTATTTTTATTTACAGGCTAAGTTCTACATGCCTTCTTCCTCTATTTTGTTTCCTAAAGTCAACTCTGGAACTTTAGGAGAACATCAAACATCCCACAATTTGGGATATAATTGCAAAAAGTAGCACCACCGTGTTAGAGTTTTAACAGAGGGTTTGCAATTCAGTGGTGTTGGGAGCCCAGCACACGATCTGTATGGCATGATGTATGATGTATGGCTTTTCTCTCTTTGGAGGATCGTAACTGGAACTGAAATGAAGCATGCCCTTGAGCTGCGTGTGTCATTTTAGAATGTTTAAAAGTGTCCTAGATGGACAGCTGCTTCTGGGACTTGGTTCTACAAAGGTAGCTGTTGTGGCCCCATCCCAGCTGAGCACTTCAGCAGGGGAGTGGTCTCTCTGGTGTCTAATGGGAGTCCAAATTGTGCATTGCTGCCCACGCTCCTGTCACGTGGGTCTCATGAGTGACAACCCAGACTCTGAGGAAGTGCCTTATGGGGCTGCAAGTGCCTCATCTGTGCAGGAATTGGGAGGAATTATCTGTGAAACTGCAGTATCTCTCAGGGTTGTTCACCCTGAGAGGGAGAGGGGTGGCAGTGGAGATCATGGGGTTGTGGTATTGGGCTGATTCCCCCTAGGAGAAATCAATGCCCTTGATGGGAATGGTAATCATTAGGTCAAAAGTGAGGAAAGCCGATGAAGGTACAGCTCAGAAGAGAGGGATCAAGAGCAGGAAGGGGGAAACGTTGAAGAAACACAACGGAGATCAGAGAAGGCCTGGCCTTTCTGCAACATGTGCCTTCACAAAGGACCTGCCTTTGCCTCAGTGGAGCTGTGTGTGCTCCTCTTCAGAGTTGACCCAAAGGAGTTGACTCAGTATGTAAACAGAGGGTCTTTTTCATGGCCTAAAAAGGGAGAGCAGGAAACACCAAAGACTTTTCTGTGATAAGAGATGTTTGCCACCTGCCTGAACAAAGCAGCAGGCATGCCCACCCTTCCCTATCTCTTCAGGCTGTCAGTTGGGTTGAAGGACTGTTTTCTTTGATGTTTTGGCGAGTACTAAGATTTGTGTAGAGGAAAAAAGATGCAAGGACGTAAGCAAAGATCCCAGGTTGCTTCAGAAGTAGTAAAAATTGCCAACCTACCAAATCAACCTGCCAAATCTTAAGATTCATTAGCGGGTGATAGGCTATGGTGTGAGGTTATTATAAGGCAGAGCTGATCACCTCCAGTGCTATAAAACTAAAGAGTCCTTAATTCAGTGATGTGTGCAGGAAATCACTGCCTGCCCAAAGCAGCTTGATGCATTCATCAAGTCTTCAGGTGAACATGCCAGCCTCTGATCTTCACCAGCTGAGGGACCAGGTGCTGCTCCTTTGGCTTCCTCTGGTGGGGAAGTAGGTAACTTCTGGTTGAAGAGTGAGAGATCAGAAGGGAGCAGCCACCTCTCAAAATGCTGTACTGGACTTCTTGAATAAATGCCCTCTGGTAATTAATTAAGGCAGCAAACAATTCATGAAAGCCTCATTAATGCTTTCAGATTTACTTTTTTTTGTGTATAACAAGCCCAAAAATATTTATTGTCTTTTTAACAGAACACCTCCCGAGGATTAAAGACGACAAATGCAGTGGAATATATCACAGAAAACAAGTAAGAACGGATATATCTGTTTTTTACACTGTCAATCAGAAGGGAAATATCGTGGGCGTCTTCCCCAACAGAAAAAAAAAAAAAAAAAGCTGGGATCATGATGATGACAAAAAGTGTAAGCCCAGCCATGCATATGCATGCGAGCTATTTCTCTGATTTATTTTCTTTTTCTTATTTTTTTCTTTTTCCCCCCCCTTCTCCAGATCGGATGTTATGGTATATCCCTATTTTATTCTTTATATACACTTCTCTAAAATAATGCGTATGACTATTTCTGAGGCTTAGTGTTTGTCATTGCCTTGGAATATAATAAAAATATAATAATAAAATCCAGTACTGTAACTTTACCTCAGACTGTAAATTTAGCCTCAGACTACACTGGAAATTTTGTAAAGCCATAGTGGTTTCAACCCACTATTAATTTATTGCTCTTGTGTCATTAAATAAAGAGAAAGGAGGCAGTTCTTCAGTTGGAGCTTGCTGAATTTGTGAGGTGCTGTCATTATTAAAGGACTTAAGTAGTAGGATACCATTTATAAAATGAGAAATTATGGTCATCATCCCAAGCACTAGAAACAGATTTTCCTTCTATCATCTTTTATATGCTAGAATATCTTCAAATACTAATATCATGAGCAGCTTATTGGAAGAGGATATTATGGATTGTGCTTATAAAACCAATGTTCATCAGTCTGTGGGCCACTTAAAATCTCATATACTTCCAAGAGCCTATACAGATATACAGTGTACTTTAAAATGTCTGTTGGAAAGTTACTCTGACGTAAAGTTCATGGCACTTTGTACTGTATCTCCTCCTTAACAAGGCAGCTGATGGCCCAGAGAAGCTTTTCTTATGAATAAGATTAGTTCTGCTGGATGCTTTTTCTAATTCTTTTTTTCTTATTGCACTTTTAGAGAGAATTTAGAAGCGCAGCCAAGTAAGTACTGGCTTTGCCAAATTCAGTGTTTTGCTGCTATGTACTGTCATACACCACCCTGTGATCCATTTTTACCTCCTGATACAAGTATGCTCCCACTAGAGTTAATGGAGATTACTGGATTTCCCCTAGTGTTTTTCTCCAAATGTCTCATGTTAATGTCCGTTCATATCAACACAATATAGTTTGGAAATTGGGTGGTGGCTTTGCCTTTGGGCTACAGGGAACAAATGAGAGGTGAGACAAGAAGTGATACAATGGGTTGATAACCCAACAGAGAAGACCTGTCTGAGGGACAAAGTACATCTGGAGTTTATGCATTGACCTCATTCACTGTTGCAACTATTTATGAGCACAATGGGTTGATAACCCAACAGAGAAGACCTGGTTGAGGGACAAACTATGTCTTGAGTTCATGCATTGACCTCATTCACTGTTGTGACTATTTATGAGCACAATGGCCTGAGAATGGGGCTGCTTCTTGCTACCAGTTTTGATGTAGTTTCCTTTCTGCAGTTTGCAGAGGGGATTTAGGACTGCTGCTGGTGCTCGATTATAGACGGCAGCTCAGTAAAACCAATGTCCCCTGAGATTTTTGCCCTTAGGGCTTTTAAGGGCTGTGAAACACTTGGGGTGAAAAATGTCCATGTGCTCAGAGCCTGCAGAAGGTCTGGGCGCTGCTCAGGCTTCAGGGGAAGCTGCTTTTCCTTGCTGCAAAGGAGCACGTTGTATCCCCAGTGAATCAACGCAACCATTTTAATTCTCTGCTGGCCCCTTTATGTTGGTGTTTTCATCCTTTGCAGAGGTGCAAGTTGTATAATTTATTCCTTTTTTGTCCTTTATTCAACTGAGTAGCCTCTAGTGTGGGCTAAAATTGTGTAAAAAAAAAAAACAACCAACCAAACAAAAAAACCAAAACCAAATCCAGCTTGTAATTAGGTATTTCTTTCAGTGGGTTGATTCTGCTGGAAAGAGAAATCTGCAAATTCACTCTTCAAAATGCTCGGGCTCTCTCTCTGACACGGCTTGCTTAACACAGAGAGAAATCCCAAAGCCTGGCTCCAGAAGAGGGCTCTCTCGTTTGCCAGACCGTTGCAGATTCCAAGCTGTTGCTGGGTGATTCGTTTGATGGATGGACCCCTTCCCTGTCACTTCTCCTGCAGCAACCCCCTAAACAGGGAGAAGGGAAAAGCCCAAGCAGACCCTTTCTCAGTGGAGGCTTCTCTGTCGCCGTCGAAACTGGTTCTCCATTTAGTTATGCTGCCAGAGTGCCCTTGATTTTTAGAATCATAGAATGGTTTGGGTTGGAAGGGACCTCAAAGATCATCTAGTTCCAGCCCCCCTGCTCTGGGCAGGGACACCTCCCACTAGACAAGGTTGCTCAAGGCCCCATCCAGCCTGGCCTTGAACCCCTCCAGGGATGGGGCATCCACAGCTTCTCTGGGCAACCTGTTCCAGTGTCTCACCACCCTCATAGTAAAAAATTTTAAGGGTGTTTCAAATGCTTTGCTTGTGCTTGAGCCAGAGCAGTCTTGTGGCCAGGTTACCATGAGGAGACGTATCCTGCTCTTGCTAAACCTGGGCAGAAAAAGGAGGTGAGGGTGAGCGTTCACAGAGCCCCAGTGAATCTCATTTTCTTGGAAATCTTTAAACCCGTGCTAGTTCTCTGGCGCGGTGCTGCTGGCACTGGCTTGGTGCCTGCCTTTAAAGCTGGTTGGCACCAGTGGTCATTTTTGGGCTCCATGAATTTTCAGAGAAAGGGCAGTGTCTCCAAACCCAACATCTAGTTTGTGGGGATTTTTTTTTTTTTGAAGGAAGGGGGCTGTTTTTCTGCAAATTTGATGTAAATGACGTTTCTGTTAGGGAAGAAGGGCTAAAATGTGTAGCTCTTCTCCTCTGCTCACAATAATTTATCGCAGAGATTAAAACAACATGACTGAAAAGAGATAAACTGTAGAGATGCAAAACTTAGCCATTGCTCAGGCTGGTGGCAGCACAAATCTTGAGAACCTCGGCAGGCAAAAACTGCAGAGCTGAATGAAGTAAATTGTTTTCTCAGATGTAGTCAGGCTGAGGGGAAGCCTGTCACCCTGTCCTCTGATAAATACAAAAGCAGGATTTTTCCCCATCTCCCTGCGACTCTCTTTCTCCTTGGCTTATGAGGTATAAACACATTTCTCCTTCTTGGAGCCGCTTTAAACCTCTGATCTGACAGTTATTCCAAGTAATACCAATTAATGTTGTTTTCATACAGAAGATGATGCCTTTGATGAATTATTTAGCCGTGCTCCAGATAAACTGGATGCTGTAAAAAAGGTAATTTACTCTTTTAATAGACGGCAAAATTTATAAGGTAAAACATAATTCATGACTTCACTGAGAAAAGTTATCTTCTCTTCTGCCCTCTCCTCCCCTTGTGTTTTCTTTAGGTATTTTTGCAATTTGTCAACCAGCATGTTGGAAAATTGGGATTAAACGTGAAAGACATCGAATCTCAGGTAGCCTGCTCTAACAGCTGCATGTTAACTGTGTTTTTTCAGCCATTTGAGTGTTTCCTCTCACCATTAGGATTCCTCCTTTTTGTTGTACTAATTTGAAACTTGGCAATGTAACAATTATTTCTAGCTTCAAGGTTAAGATACCGTGCTTCAGTCTCTGAGGTTTCTGAAGGTAATAAGTAATGAAAAAATATAGCTTTGTATTGAATGCTGCCTTTAGAAGGGGCAGAATTTCACTGAATTTCACTGATTTTTTAGAGTTGGAAGGGACCGTAGAGATCATCTAGTCCAACTCCCCTGCTAAAGCAGGATCACCCAGAGCATGTAATGCTACAGAAAGTAGCAGAATGCTACTTTCAGAGTCTGCCCAACTCCTGTGGATGCTCTTTCTGTTGGGATGGAAATTAATGTGTTTTGACAATTAAACTGAAAGCCAAGTTTATTGCTGGCGATTGGTGATTTTTAACGCTGGATTTGCTTCCCGGTAGGAAGGCCTGATTTTCATTACATTTCAAAGTCCTGTCCTCTGAATGTCGAGCTTCTTCAGAGTCCATGAAATTGCAAGAGAAGTGCTCGTTAGGCACCTTGGGATCGTCTCCCTGTCCTTCTCCTCTATCGCTGCCTCCGGGGAGGGTGGACGGCGGCTCGCGTGGAGCCGGGGAGCCACTGCATCCTCCCCACACCTCTCCAGGGAGCGAGCAAGCCAGTGATGGGAAATGAGCTCCGGGACATCCCTCATGGCTTTTTCTTTCCCTGCTTTTGCAAACACACCCGCAATAACTGCCGGAGAAATCAGCCCACAAGTCCTGCTTTGCTCCAGGCATTCAAAACCCCGGTGCAGTGGTGGTCCCTGTGATTTATGCCGTGCGGATGAAAAGCAGAGCTGCACTCTTGGGCTCTTCTTGGGTTTTCCTGGTGGGCAACTGTGAGAGAGGAAGTTTTGCAAGTGTTTTGTCATAAATCTCAGGCACCAGGCGCAGTTTCCTTTTATTTATACTTAACGCCGTTGTCGCTTGCGGTCGTCTGAAGTCTCTTCGCATCTGGAATAGTTTGTTTTAATAGCTGTCCTTTTACAAGGTCGTATTTTTACTAATATGAACTTGGGAGCCTTATGTAACTAAATACGAAGTTCACTGTAGAAGAGGTTGAGGGAGCTGAGTCATTAGGCTGTCTGCTTGCCAGAGTACCATTTAAATTCCTTTATCGCCGGAATGGCATTTATCGGAGTACTTTACTAAAAGCCAACATAATAAATAATATTCAGATCTTTCTTCATCCAGTTTGCAGATGGAGTTATCTTGCTTCTGTTAATTGGACAACTGGAGGGTTACTTTCTGAATTTAAGGGATTTCTTCCTGACTCCAGCCAGCACCACGGAGATGGTAGGTTGTTATTTAATTACTTAGAGCTTGAGGCTTCTAACATCTTGTGTATTTAATGCTTCCGTATATCAGCGAAGAGCTCTGCCTCTTGCTTTAACTGCTGCTGCATGTGAAGTCATGTACATGCAGTATTTGCAGGTTGGTGGCTTGGGACAGAACAGATGCACGCACTTGGTGCTGTAAAAAAAACCTTGGAAGAGGTTCTGTGTCTTCTTCAAAATTAATGATTACCTCATGGGAGGCAAACTATTGTTGCTCATATTTGTTAGGCAGATATGTACTTCTGAAGCCTTTGAGTGAAATACAGAGGGTCTGTGTGGTGGGGAACTGATATGCTATATCTCCTGAAAGTCTCTCCTGCAAACAGCATTTTTAAGTGGATGACACCTCTTGCATAGCAGAACTGGATCCCTATAGGTTTCCTTATGCTGTCCTAAAACCATACCTTAAGACATGACCAGAACATTTTGAAGGCCTCCTCTGTGCTTAGGAAGCTCTTGAGAATTTACATCTTTTCCTCCCCTGAGGCAGGGAGCTGTAACCTACCCAGCCAGACTCGCTTGACTCCTTTTCCAATCTCTACCAGGCAGATTTCATCAGTGTTTTAAAAGAAAAAGGTGGCATCAGCCAGAAAGGTACCACGTGCTGGGCTGCTGCTGTAAATGCGTCCTCCACAGATCTAGGATGCTGAAAAGTTTTGGGATATTTGAGATATTTTCAAATTGTCTGTGGTGTGGGTAAAGATTTTTTTTCATTTGGGTCACTGACTAGTTCTGAAAATCTTGAAGCCATAGATATTTTTTCTGGTTTATATTCAGTTAGATCTCTGAAGGTGAAATGTGTCAGATCCTTTTTGCTCAAGAGCTGCCTGAGAAGGGAATCTTTCCTCTGGCGTGATTTGTATTCCAGCTTCTCTGCACAGGCAAGGCTTTCGTCCGATTCCTAACCTCACCACAGTTAATCTCCCTGGGCAGCATTTATTTGTAATGAAAATCTCAGAGGCCCTGTATTAATTAATAAATAATGGAGCTTTTCATTAAAACATTGAAAAGCACAATTGTTCGAGATCTAGGTTCAAATTTTGACAAAAACTCATTGCTATCGGTCGATGACTGTTAAAAGTATTGGGAAAATTCAGATTTTTTTTCTAAGATGACTCTGAACTGGAAAATATATTTTGAAGGGTTGAATCAAATAAAATCAAAGCATTTCCTTGCAGTTGTTTTTCTTTCCTTTCTCCTCCTTCACTCAGTTTTCAAAATTGTTTGCTCCAGTCTGTTGACTTGGAAATAATTTTTTAATATTTCCAGAAACTTTATTCAGAGGAAGTCAATAATTTTTGTTTTTTAATTTAAAATTCCATAGAGAACCATTTTCTTTTTTGGATCAGCACTAATCAAGCCTCACAAGACCTCTTTGAAAAAATGAGATAGCCCTAGATATTAGGTCCACATCAGAGCTCAGACTTTCTAGTCCTTACCCTGCACATGCGGGTCACTGACCTCAGAGAAGAATATAATGGGGCTGGGTACTGGTTTAGTACAATTCTCTACATCTTAGTAATTTCATTTTAGGAAAGTTACTTCCAATTACTGGACTTCTTGTTGAGCCAAAGTGGTATTTACCATTTGTTTCTCCCCTGATGTTCATTACAAGATGAAAAGTGGGTTGACAATAGAACTAAAAATACTGAGCGACCATAGTTCAGCAGTCATTTGTACATTAAATACGTCTTTCAATTCCCCTGTGCTTTCTAACTCCCTGTCATTTTAGATGTTAATTGGTACAGTACAGTATGAAAATATAACCTTTGCTGAGATTTAAAACACGTCATTTGTGTTATACAAATGGTGACAACCACACGCCCCGTTCTGATCAGTGTGGTACATCGGATTTCTTTCAAGTGGAAAGCTTGAGGTTCAAAGCTGATATGTACACCTCCTGAAGAGCAAGGAGGGGAAATTGGGATGGAAGCCGTGATAGTGAGGAGGAAATAGAAACAAGAAATAAGCAGGGCAGGAACCCATGTTAGAGGGACAGGCAGGAGCAAAAATTCGGGAGGTGACCAATCTGTAAGTGCAAGAAGACAACACTGTGCGTGGGTACATTTGTTGCTGGTTTTCTGGGTCCTTGTTACCAAAAACTGAGGTTTACAAGTAACTGTAAAGAAAGTCTAGCTCTGGGAGCTCATGTGTATAGAAAGGTGTGTATTCTATTCTAGAGACAAATAATATAATCACAAAACAGGCTGAAATTAGGGGTGGACTTTGTGCAGTCAGGAGATGAAGAAAATGGTGAAGGGGAGCCTTTGTGCTTATCACAACTGTAGGAAATTGGCACTTTTGCCAGAACAGGCCCAGAGATGAAATACCCCAAGTGTCCTGACCTCTGTCCAGTTGTAAATCCTAGAGAATTGTCCAGCCCTTTTGAGTCTGGAAGCACAGCTGGATGAAATGACTTATTTTTCTAGATTGTCTTTGTTTGTTATTTATCAGTATTTCTGTCTGAAGATTTATTTTGGAATCAGCGTGTTATTGTTCCTTGCAAATCTTATATGTGTAACAGAGAGGGAAATGTTCCCCTTTTTACCACTGGTGATTCATCAAGAAAACATTTGATTTATTCATTCTGATCAGAAAATTGTGTAGATCTGTACAAGCTTAAGCTCTCCTGGCTGCTGACTGTCAGAGGAAGAAAAACAAGCCTGAACCCAAAGTGTCAGTCTCGGTTACTTGAAAATCAGAGAGTCAGGTGAAACATAAATCTATTGCTTCACTTCAGAGCGTGCAGTTTGTGCTTGGCTTATGCGCGGGGAACCCCTGTGCCTATTGTCAGCAGGGCAGCATCTGTGATGTGCCTCCTGAAGGATAAATTGCTCAGTAGCCTAAGGAATGTATGAAGAGACAGTCTGAAGCTTGTTCAGGTCTTGTTGCTTCATTAGAGGTAGGGAACTTACTAATTAACAGCCAAGTAAACAACAGCCCTTAAGCTACAAGAAGCTAATAATGGGATGGTATACTACTTTAAAAAAATAATATGTGACTACTGCATGTGTGTGTGATGCTGCTTTTATGTGGGGAAGGGAGAGAAAAACAAGTGAGGAAAAATAAAAAAAACCCCACAAACAAACAACAAAACAAACAAAACCACCCAGCCTACGTTCATAGACATATTCTTAATTTCTCATGAGTAATATTAAGGATATCATTGCTACTGTTACTGTGTATAGACATCTTTATATGTTAAAGCATAAACTTCTAGCTCACAAATATAGCTGATTGGAAGATTTCCCAGTTTTTGAAATTCCGAGTGAAATATAGAGAACTTTTTCCTTATGTATTTTTTAGTTTATTCCAAGTGTGGTAAGCGAATGGGCATTGTTAAAAATAATAGAAATAAATTATATGCATGTATTAGATCCAGTCATGAATCTAGCCTGTTTTCCCTGTGGAAACATCTATTAGCACAAGACTTTCACATATAAGGTCTATTTTAAAATAATTCTCCTGCCCACCTCATGGGATAAGTTTTGTTAGAAATGGATTTTTACATCCGATTTTATATGATAATTGGTAGAAATTCTAAAGAGCACACCATCAAAAACAAGGAGATTAATTTGAGTACGTATTTATGAATCAGAACCTTACTTCAGCTACTAGAGAAACACTTTTAAAAACCTCCTGCTTTTCTACCACTGTCGGGTAGAAAATATCTTCTGTTACATTGATCTTTCTCTCTCATGAACAGCTTCACAACGTTAACCTTGCATTGGACTTGCTGACAGATGGAGGCCTTCTGAATTTTTCTGTGAACTCTGAAGGTGAGTCATGACATGCAAGCTTGTCTGGAATAGAATTGCTAATATCCTGGCTTAAAAGTTAGGGTAATTGAAGAAAGTAGGTTTTGCAGTGTGACATTGACACATCTTGTTATATGGCTGCCCCATAGCTCCTCATTCAGAATGAATAATAAAAAAGCTGAGAATTGTTTTGAACCATCTCATGTCTCTACTAAAAAATGTTGGATTGTTATAACTTTAGTAACTTCACACTAAACTTAACAAATACTGACTTATTAAACAGTTTAAAGATTTAAATCAGTGGCAGCTCCTAGGGAAATTACAGCAGCTGAGTAGAGGAGAGCTATTTTCCTATCTCATTAAAAGTTTCAGTGAGTTACAAACAAGCTTGTTTCATGTGGAAGGACACCTTGCAGGATATGTCCTGAAGATCAGAAACACTGACCGCTCTATTCACACCCAGAAGAGCTGGTGGTTCAGTCTCCTGAAAGTGAAATTCAGAGGTTTTAAGTTGCTGTTCTGCCTAGTTCAGACCGTGGAGCTGAATCTTCATCTCCTACATCCAAGTGAATGCTTTCATTGCTGTGTTAATGTACATGCATGTTCCTCTCTCTTACCCCACCACAAATACATCTGCTTTCATTTGGATGAGAGCAATTTTCCAATTAAAAAAATGCTCCACAGAAAAAAAATCCTCCTGATGGGATGAGGGATGTGGCTACATTAATGGATGGTGCTGTCACCGCTTAGCCTGACCTCTTGCAGGGCACATCACCTCACTCCATCATCCTCCATCAAGCTCAAAAGCTTGTGGTTGAATAAGTCTTTATTAAAAATAGAAAGCATTATCTCTTCCCCTATTAGTTATTCATAAGCAGGTGGGCGCATGTGTTTAGTACGTTACTCCTGGAGGAGTAAGGATAGAATTTAGGACTTTCTTTGGTTTTTCTTTTTTTTTTTTTTTTTTTCTTTTCCACTAGTGCTTTGGTGATGTTGGCAGTTTGCATGACAGGCATGTGCAAACTGTGGGCTTTTTGCCATATTGCACAGAGCTAGGAGTTTGGAAAGCTATTTATGTTACCGTTGAAAAGAGGGATCTGCGTGAGCTCAGGTCTCCATGCTGAGATTCACCTTTTGTATGAAAGGAGTTAAACCCATGCTTTCTTTCCTTCCCTCTGGCTATTCTGCACTGCCTCAAATACAGAGTTGATCAATGTAAGAAATACTGGTGCCAACATCTGCAAATCCTTTAGCTTCACTGAGAAAATCCTCAGCTAGTGATTGAATTTAATATGATTTAGGGGTACTTATTACAGCTACACTATTTAGACTGCTCAAGGATCTCATTTATTAGTGTTTCATTGTTAGTCTTTCTCCCAGTGACTTACAGCACTGTAAGACAACCAGTAAACCCTCGAAATTGGTTACTGTCTTCTGTTCCAATTACTAAATACAAGAGCAGTTTGTTTAGCCAAGAACACAGAAGCTGAAAACTAAAAGAAAAAAATAACAACAAACAAACAGCCAACAGCAGCAAAACACGATGGAAACATTACAACCAAAAAACTAAAGTGTCAGATAATTCCTAACATGATTCCTGCTGAAGAATATTCATAAAAAACTAAGGCTGTAAAGTCCTATTAAATTATCTATTCTGTCCTCTGCTAGTGAAGAATTATTTCTTACTATGCATTATTTATCCTGTCTTCTAGCAAGATAGTGCAGTGAAGGTCCCTTTTCCTTAAGTTTATTTAATAAATAAATAATCTTCTAGCTCTTGGGTTGCTGTTTTGCTGCTTGTTACAATTAGATTGTCTAAGTTCAGGTTCTAATTGGAGAAAGGTGGAAGATTGTCTCTGGCGGTTGCAGTCTATTTCTCTTCCAGGGATTGCTAATCCTTCCCATCTGGTTTTGTTGTTTCTGGTTTGTGTATCCACAGATATTGTGAATGGAGATATGAAGACTACGATGCGGATTCTCTATTGCTTGTATTCCAAATACAAGACCAAAGAAACATGAAGAGCAAGGCCAAGAGCTTGAGCTTTTTTCCCCCCCTTTTTTTTTTTTTTCTTTTCTTTTTTTCCTAACATCTCGTGGTCTGATTTTTGAATTCCCAGCTCTGTTTGCCACTGTTTATGTACACGCACTTGTGTTTGACCCCCGGGTATATTAATATTGTATATGCAAGTATGTATACATGCAAGGTTTCACATATACAGGCTGAGTAACTGTAGGTGTGTGTATGTCCAGGATCAACGTACTGTGTTGTTCTGTGGCTGGAGCTCTTGCTCCAGCCCTGTCTCTTGCTTTCTCTGAGTCCCCCTAGTGCTGCAAAGAAGTGCAATATGTGGTTTTTTTTCTAGACTCTGCATTCTGGAGGTGAATTTGGAAGCTGCTTTTGCAGCCTCCTCACTTTCCCGCTTCTGAGTTACTCTGGAAACTGGAGAGGTGAAAGACCCACCACGGCATCCCTGGGGAAGATGGCAGACACACTTGAAGTTCAAAACCTCCTTTAGACAAGCGGCCAGCTGTTGTCAGGAAAGAGGGTATGGATTGGACACCAAATGAATAGGTAGCAGAAATGAAATCTGAACTGATCAAGTGTTTGGTAAAAGTTTCACCCTTTTCCTGCTTGAGTATGGAAAAGGGACTTGGAACAACGTGGTGGCGTGAGACTGTGTCGTAACAGAGGGGTGTCCTGCACAGCTGTAGAAAGATGCTCTGGTTTCCTTGCTAAGCTAATGCCAAACTGTGGCCAGCTCCAGCCTGGTGCAGCCCTGATGTAATCTCTGACTAGAGGGAATGCCAATTCCTGTGTCAAGCATATTGTAGGAGTGACTGACACGACCATGCTTTTACCTCCAGTAAGAGGTGGACAGATGCTGGCTTCTTCTGCAGCTGGTAGAAGTAGAGACCGTCACGGGCAGGAGTAGTGAAACACTCAGCTTCTGCCACTCCTGTCAGCATACTCGTGCTGCGGGGACTCTCACACTCCTCTGAGACTCTCTTAGCTGAATTTGTCCCATGACTGTCCCCAAGCATCCCAGAAGCTCCCTCTGGATGCAGCGAGGCTGGCCACAATTTATGTTAGCCCTCACCCTTGGTCTTACTCAGGGGTTTTAAATCAGAACTTCTTCAAACCCTCCACCTACTCCCTTGACCCTAAAATTATGTCATATTTGTGTTGCATAAAGCTTGAGATCTAATTAAAAAAAAAAAAAAAAGTTTTTATATTATTTTGTCTTCCATCTAAAGTGATTTAATTTCCTGCCATGGGTGACTCTGACATTTGATCTCTGATCTGATGCCTCCTCTGGGTGTTCAGGGGAAACCGAAGCTCGCCCAGTATGAGTGCTGACATTTACAGATGAGAATTTGTTGTGTCTAGTTCTGGATCGTACAGCCTAAGAAAGATCTTTAGATAGCAATGCTGATAAGTCTTCCAGTCCTGCCTTTGAAATTGGTAATACTGCACAGCTGTAGGAGCTGCTGGAGGAAAGAGTTCTGCAAACTGCCCTGAGCCTAGTCCTTTTTGCACCAATAATTACCTTGCTGTGTTTTTACAGAGAAAAATCCAATGTGTGGTGCCAATGAGCTACAAGAAGATCAGCTTGCTTCCATAGCAAGTGTTAGTTGTGTGTGCTGTTTTGAGTGATTTAAGTAAAGAACACTTATTTTTTCTTATGCAGGTCTCCATAGGTATCTTGCTTTATTCCTTAATGGGCTTCAAACAATCAACTGGGAGACCTGAGAAGTTTGTTCTTGCTTCAGAAATCCCTGCTGCCCTTGGTGTAACGTGGCAAGCAGATTGTAGAATGAATTGTTATTGAGCAGATAAAATGGGGATGTGGCTTGTGGAGAGCAGGGGAAGAGGGGGCAGGAGGGTGTTTGGTGGTGATACAGAAGCAGCATGGCCTTTTCCACCTAGGAAGCCAACCTGAATCTTCTCTCCCATGCTGGTGACCAAAAGTCATTTCAAGTGCATGGCATGACTTTGGGCATAACCTAGAGGCTATGAAGAAGTCAGTGGTGGGGAGATTAGCTGGTGCTGTCCTGGTTAGATGGTTGTTACTGCTCAAGGAAACAGTTGGATTTTTCGCTGCGTGTTCTGAATTTTGTGGTCCACTCCTCAGCATAAGTAAATCCAGTGCTTGTACTTCTGCAGATTTCTGGCAGGGGAACTCTAGCTCTTGATATTTACTAAAAGAAAGGGTCATATTCCCTTCCCAACACCAGCTTGCCTAAACCTGTTATGAACAAGTCATTCTTGAAACTGTACAGGGAAAAAAAAATGACAGCTAATGTGCTTGAATCAAAAACATATTGAGAATAAAAATGTTTTTTTATGTTGCGAGCCAATTTATTACATGCTTGATGTCTCTGAACACTTTGATAAAGAGCCTGTGTTTGATTCCGAAAACATGGTACAGAATTTTACCAATCCATCATACAGACACTCACTCCATAAATTGGTGTAGAATACACAAGTGCAGTATTTACATTTGAGATGTAGTCACAGACTTGGCATAGCTTTCATAGTAAATATAAAGTGACAGCTAAAAAGAATATTCCAACAATATGAAACTGAGGAAGAAAGAAATGGATATTATTGTTTTCAGATGTTACTTTTGCCTTACATAATAATAACCTGTTTCCCCTTTCTCATATATGGTAATGAAAAATGAAACTGCTTACTGTTTTAGCTGGCAAATTAACAATATTTTGAATAAACTAAGCTCTCTCTGTGAGAGCCTGTTTATTGACACATAATTAATTTTGTAATTTTCATGTTTGAACCCTAGATAGTGAGATGTTCATGATAGAAAAGCATGGTGGACTGTTAAGATGTCAGGGTTTTTATCGTTCTCCGTAGCTAGGTATGCAACTACGATGACTGCTCAGTTTTCCAGTGGAGTCACTGACTGACTGTGTCACACTCTGTTTCCAAGGAAGAACATGCAGTCTGTTTACCTTTTAAATGACTGGTAGATGGTCCAAGAGTTTCAGAGCCAGAGAAGAGCCCTACAGGATCTTCTGTTGTTATCCTTGTCTCAATGGTAAGTGGCACGGTAGCATTGCAGCAAGGCAAGGGCCGGGATGTGGAACAGATCTGAAGTGTTTCTGTCTCCTGATTGGTGACATTTTTCTGTTGTCCTGTCTTTCCAAAATACACAGCCTCATAAGTAGAAAGATGTCTTTCCAGAGGTAAAGTGGCAAGGGTCTGTGGAGAGAAGTGCGGGTGGAAAGGGCAGACTTACCACGGTGACTTTAAAAGAAGCAGCAGGTGCACAAAAGTTTTCATTAATGGGATCAAGGGACCGAGTCAGGTCCTAGGTGTAAAGCCTGGGAAAGCAAACCTGGAGATCTGTCCCTGCTATGAAAACCCATTCTTCTCCGTGGGAAGAGGATTCCATTGCCATTTTTTCGTGCCATCCTTTAACTAGAGCCCTCTAACCAGGACCTTGCTGGTGTGGCTTTCTGGGAACTGGGCAGTTAAACTCCAGAGGGAAAACGCCCCCCAAATGCCCTTGATGGGTCGGAATAGCACCTACACTCCTTTGAGGTGGAGCCTGTTATTAGTGTCTATCCTTTTCTTTCTTTCTTCTTTCCCTCCCCTTCTCTTACTCTTTTCCTGTGGTTTCTATTGTGTCGCTTCTTGCAGAGACACATCCCCCCTGTTGATTGCAAAAGTCTCTTTGGCAATTAGGCTTTCAAACCATGAAAGAAGCTAATTGAAATTCTGCCTCTCCATGAGCTAGAAGGGCATGTGTGTGTTTGTGTCTCTGCGAGGGGATCTTGCTGTTCCTTTTCTTAGAGGCTTCTGAAATTTCCCCAAAGAATAAAAGCCATTTACACTTTTTATATAATTTTTTTTTTTTAGTCAATTAGTATTATAATAAAGAATAGATGAAAAAGTGTTATTTTGGAGGAAACAAAGTAGTGCATAAAAGCCCTTCTACTTGCTGTGGAGGTGGATGCGTTTCCTGTGCTACTCAAAATTTTCTAGGGTGGTGACAAGGTGAACAGGACACAAGGAGTAAAACATGGAGAGATGAGTTTTGAGACTAGAGATGATCTAATCAAGAGAACAGTACTGTGGACTGGAACAGCCCTGTTGTCCCATGTTCTCCATCAGCCAGTTGTACTTTCTAGAACTTTAAAATGGGGAAAAAAAAAACCCAACACAACAAATCACCTCTATCTTTCTTAGCATTTTGATTTGAGCAAAGTGTCCCTTTGCACCAGGACACCTTTGCCATCGACTTTTCCCTTAGTCTAAGCCTTTTTCCCCCATGTCGTTCCATTACAACTGGAGTCCCCTAGGCCATTCTGCTCCAGCCACTGGCTAGAATGAAAGTTCTTAAGGACTTTATCCAATGATGACATTTCTCAGGCTGCACTTAATGAATTTCACATACCTTGACAGAAAGCCAATAAAATAATAGCAAACAACAGAGAAATGTTAGAGGAGAAGGGAGGTGCTTAGTCAAAACTGGATGAATTTTATCGGTAGAAGAGTGGCTTGGATGAGAACTACCTAAATTTAGGTAATTTATCTAAATTATCTAAAATCTTGTTATCATGAAGTGCTAGTTCAGGTGCTTCCTGTTGTCTCCTTCACCTGTATTCCAGGTGCCCATAAGGCTTTATGTCCTAAAAGAGCTGCAGTCTGCCCTGGGCTCGTCTTCATGCTGTAAGGAGCACGTGTTCCACAGCAGTTGGGTGGTTTAGTTTCTTTTGGGAAATGGAGCCCAACTGTGGAGTTGTGCCCATGAACGGAAAGTTCAAATATGTGAACTGAAATGCCTATGGTGTAATACAAATATGTTCTTTTCCCATCTTTTTTCATCTTTTCTCCACTCAACTATCCCTCCCTGCTTTTTCTCCAATTAGAGTCCAATTTTCCCATTGGAGGAATTTGTTTTAATGAAAAAATGTCAACCATCACATTCAATCACCACTTTCATACCAGGGCACTCTGTGTCTCAGGATCCTGATCTGCAGAGCGTGCTTTCGGTGAAATGTCCAGGGGAGTGATGGAGGCCAGTTTGTCCCTGGGCTTGGATGTCTTTTCGGACCACCTGTCACATAATCCAGTTGCCAGCCCCAGGCCAGAGAACATAATAAATATTTTAAAGTCTGTAACCACAGCACTAGCTAGGCTTTTTTTAGGATCGAAAAGCCAGGAAAAATAAATTGTATAGAGTAAAAAAGCCACAAGTTTCAAAGTAGTTCTTAGCATGGATGGTTTTAGTAGAAATACTATTGCAAGCATATTGTATGACTTTAAATGCATCTAAAGAATGCACTTCTGTTATGTGATAGAAAAGAATTTGGATAGTTTGGACGACATGAAGTTACGATACTGTCCTAGTAACGTAAGGAAGTCTTAGTGAAATCAGATATATGTGTTTTGTCAGGTTATTCTACAGACACGCCAACTAAAATTATGCAAAAAATGAACCAACCTCAATTTACAGTCTCCTAACATCCAACTTTTCTATGTGTTCTTCTCCCTGTGTATTTCAGTGCTTTGGTATTCTGACTCCTTGCGCCACCCCCCGGTTTTCCTCCCTCTTGTGCCCCCCTTGTGCTGGTGGCCCAGGTGGTCAAACAGCTGCCTTTCAGCAGTGCCTGCTCCTTTCCCCTCTCCGTGCTCAGAGCTGCTGGGGTGTCACTGGGAAGTATCATCTAGAGAAGTCATATTTGCAATGCAAAAAAGCTGTGAAAAAAATCTGGAAACACCAGCTGGCTGCTGTGTATAAGAATTTAAAACGTTTCTCAGTGGTATGCAAGAAGAATTCCTTTGTCCTTCCTCCAATATAAAAAATAAAATCAAAGATAGAAGATAGCATTCTGTCTGACCCAGAATGATAGGGATGGAGAAGTACATCCAGATGACACTAATGAGCTATTTTTCCATCCACATTTTACCTTTTTATGCAAGGCAACTAGGATGTGTGTGTGTGTAGTTTTCCTGGACGTGCTCCCTTTTTGGCAGGAAAATGTTGAACAGGGAGGTTTTGAACACTTCTGGATGTTTGAGAACTCCAGCAGATTGGGCTCCTCCAATGTAGTTGTTGTACGCCAGGATTTTTTTGTGGGTTTGCGGGGGATTTCTGGATACCAGTCTCCCATTTGGCACTGGTGGGAATGTACCCTCTGCTGTAGTGTCAGGTGTAGCAGTGTAACTTCTCCTGGATGTGTCAGGTTTGCAGTGTGCAAGGAGAATTAGGTATGTGTAGGATGTACCTCATAACTGTGACACCTCAGCTTTGCTTTGTGTGTGCTCTGCAGGTTTTGTGCACTTGCTTGTCTATAAGAAATCTTGGCGTGGTAATGTCCTTCATAAATAACAAACAGTGACAGAAGGCTGGACATGTCCTAAGGTGAAGCTCAGAGGCTGGTTTTGGGGCGATTACAGCACAGACAAGAGGAATACAGATCTCACACCAAGATTCTTCCAAATCAGTGTATCTTAAGTAAGAGAAATTTAAGCATACGATTTCTATATGCAAATACAGAATCACAGAATCTTTATGGTTGGAAGGGACCTTTGAGATCATTGAGTCCAACTGTACTCACACAGCTCCCCCCGCACCCCCCCAACAATCTCGGCCACTAGAGCATGCCAGGGAGTGCCATGTCTACACGTTTCTTAAATACCTCCAGGGATGGTGAGTCCACCACCTCCCTGGGCAGGCCGTTCTAATACCTCTAAAAGCTAGTAAATACCTGTAAATCTTAGTAATACCTAGTAATGTTACGGAGCTTAAAGAGCCACAGGTTTGATCTCAGTGCTTTCTTAGTCCTTAGAGTCACTTATGCTTTGAAGACTTTTGGTTCTCCTGATGATGTAGGCTCTGTCTGGAAGGGCAATGAAGACTATAGGGAAAGAGATCTTCTAGGATCTTGAACACGAAGCCAAAAGGGCAAGAGCGGTTGACAGAATTTCTTAAAGGGGATCCCCACTGCAGAAATGTTGACTTTGGCTTACTGCTAAGTTTAGAAACCATGTAAAACATGTTCCATGCTCTTTATACAGAGCAGATGGTACAACAGGCTTTACTGGTTCCAGTGTGTCAAATAACAGATTGTCTAGAAAAGTTTGCTTGCTTTTGGCAGACAATTTAGTTCAGCTCATAGTATGTTGCTGAAGTTCATTGCGCATCTCTGCAGAAGTAGGCAGCTAACACATTTTATGTCATCTGCTATACCAAAAGTTTCTTCAATAATAAAAAAAAATGTTAGAAGTTGCGTTCCTACTTGTTCTCTTGAGTGGAGGTGGGGAAAGGAGTCTCGAATGTGTGAGTAGAAAAAGCAGCATGAAATCCATGAAATTGATTCATGTTCCAAAGCCACAATCTCCTTCCAGTTGGTACAACATTATATTTTTTCATTCTTTTTTTATATACTTATTGAAATACAAACTTTTAACATAGACACAGAATAGTCTGTTAGATTTGGTACTAGTTATGATCAGACATACTCAGTAAATCAAGGTATTGTATAATCTTAACAATTAGATCTGGGCATACACAAACATCGATGTTAAAGTACTAATAAAAGATATTTGTGTACAGCTTGATCATACTAAGCATAATCATATTGCGAAGGGATCCTAGGAAGGACTAGCTTCCTCTGGTCAGTC